AAAAAATTGGCAGAGCATTATGTGATCTAGGGGCTAGCATTAATTTGATGCCCCTTTCTATTTGTAATTCCTTGGGGATCACCGAGTTGAAACCCACTTTGGCATCTCTTCAGCTTGCTGATAAGTCTTTGAGGAAGCCCAGTGGTATTATTGAAGATGTTCTTGTGAAGGTAGACACGTTCATCTTTCCTGCTGATTTTGTAGTGTTGGATATGGAAGGGGGAGTTGAAATGCCTCTTTTGTTGGGTAGACCTTTCTTGGCCACTGCTCGGGCACTAATTGATGTTGAAAAGGGGAAGCTTGAGCTAAGAATGAATGATGAGACCGTTACCATCAATGTCTTTGATTCTCTAAAACAGTCTTCTCACAAAGATGATTGTTTTAGCCTTGAAGTAAAAGAAAAACAAAGTGCAACGGATGATGCCAAGGAAGATGGTGCCATAAAGGTGGAATTGGAGGAGCTTCCTCAACCTCAGAAAAATGTCTTCTTGACTAATAAGGAGGCGGTGATTGAAGCATTGAAGGAAGAGGAAACTGAATTGAAAAATAAAGATCCCTCTTCCCATACCAACAAAATCCCCAATGAGGATGATGACAAACATGGGAGGAAATCCAAAAGGAGGCGTCATCCTATAATGAAGAAGGTATTAAGAAAGGAGGTAGTGAAACTCTTTGATACAAGTTGGAAGAGACATCAAGAGCTGAAGTTTGACAAGAGACACCGAGACTCTATCTCTCGGAAAAATCAAAATTTCAAAGAGTTCTTAACATGGCTCCATGGTTTGGAGCAAATCTGGGAATAGTGGTCTCATACACCAAGGCAACCAGTACCACCAGACCTTCCATTTGCTGAGTCATCCCACGTTGCTGAGGGGGATGACATGGAGGGTTGAGTTTATCTCCTTGCTAATGGAGATCTTGTATATTAGTTTATTTTTCTGTTTCGTATTTTTCTTTTTAGTTACTTTGTGTTAGTATATCTTTCTTTGATGTTTTAATGTGCGCATTATAGTTTCTTCTATATGCCACTGTTTGTTCTATTGTACAGGTTTTTCTTCTTTCTCGTGGTTTAATTATTGCTGAGGACAGCAATTCTCTAAATCTGGGAATGGTAGGCTTGCACCTGAGAACTGCTGCAATTCTTCTATCAGGGGAGATATTCTAACTCTTTTAATTTTCTTAGTTATTTTTATAGTATTTTGTGTGCTATATATAAAAAAAAAATTGAACATGTTTTCTGAGCAAGTCCCAGGTTTAGATATGTTTTCCCTAGTTAATTTGCCTGATTCATCCTAGGAATCATGTTTTGTATGTACTTCTGGCATAATATTGTATTGGCATGAGTAGATTTCATGATTGCTCGTTTGTCTGAATTTTGTGCTTGAATGATTAATGATGCCTGATGTTCTTTTAGAAGTCTAGCTTAACATCATAGCTGGTAAGGTTTTGTGCTTAAACACTTATTTTATTCTGAGAGACCTCACTGTGATAGCATTCTAGAACTTGCTCTGTTTCTCTGTTATGCATGTATTGATTGATATGATAAAGACATTTTGTTCTTGTTAGCTACTGGCCAAAAATAACTCACCTGAATGAATTTTTCCATTGTTAGCCCCTTGAGCCTGAACCTATTTGTTATTAAATGACCTGTGGCCTGATTGATGGCTTAGCCTATATCCATATGACTTACCTTGATTGAGATTGAATTACTGAAATGTTGAAAAGAAAACAAATAAATTGAGGTAAGCTCCACAGAGGTCAAATAATTAGGGGAGGTAAAATTTCATCTGTGCCCTTAAAACAAAAAGGTTTGAAAAAGAAAAAGAAAAAAAAGGGTGAATGTAAAGAAAAGGTTGTTGAAAGGAATTAATTCCCGAAATTCTGTGGGAATGTTAGTGGAGCAAAATCATTGAGTTGAAGGTGTTAAAAATGAAATAATATCAGTTTTCAATCTCAGTGTTGTTTGAGCTACTTTCCATATATTCCTACCCATTAAACCCGACCAAGTTACAACCTGTGAAGTCCTTTTGATCAATTATGCATGTGTTAATGTTCCTCATCTTTAGGAACTTGAGAATATGATCAAGCTTATGGTAATGTTATTGCTGTGATGGATTGAGTGATTGTTACTCCCTTAAACACTTGAGTGCTGAGCGTTGTATGATTATCTTGGTGAGGGGTGTTCAAGTTAGACTCTGACATTTTCATGAGAATAGAAGGCATTGTTAGGAGTTCTTTGCATTGATTCAATCATGCTTAGCATAGTGATCTCTTGATTGTCTGTGTGATATTGTGTTGGAATAATTGATTGTTTCCTGGATTGAGCCTTGTACATTGCTGGGGACAACAACGTTTAAATCTGGGAATGAAGCACCATTTTTATGAGATAAAAGAGTGATCCATGTCATACGTGTGCATTCGTCAATAAAAGTAATATAGTAAAGAGATTTCGAAATAGAAGGAATTTTTGCAGGGCCCCAAATATCAGAGTGAACTACTTCAAAGGGAATTAAACTTTTATTCATACTGGGAAAATAGGGAATTCTATGGCTCTTAGCCAATTCACAAGTGTTACATTGAAATTGAGACACTTTTATGGAAGAGAATAAATGGGGAAATAATTTTTGCAGATAATGAAATGATAAATGGCCTAATCTACGGTGCCACAGCCAAACTTGAGACAATGCTGGAGAGTCAGAAACAGAGATGCAAGTCTGAGAGGTAGAAGGGGATAAAATTCGATGGAGGTCCAAGCAATAGAGGTCACCAATCTTAATGCCATAACCAAGTATCTTCTGCCGGAGGGGGTCCTGAAAAATACAATAAGAAGGAAAGAAAGTGATAACACACGGGAGATCAGAGGTTAATCGTGTCACAGACAACAGGTTAAACTCCAGGGAAGGTACACATAAAACATGAGAAAGAGACAAGTCAGAGGATAGTGAAATAGAGCCTTGTCCAGAAATGGGAGATGTACCACCATTTGCAGTAGTAATAAATGATTTCGAACAAGGTACAAAATTCGATAATAAGGTAGAATCATGAACCATATGATCAGAAGCACCAGTATCTATTATCCAACTAGTATTCATAGAATGAGCAGAAAGAACAAGGGACTTACCTAAGATGCTGCTTTGAACGACATTGGCCTTGGGAATTTGAGTGTCCGCATTAGCAACAAAGAGCTTATTCTGGGGAAGAATCTTCTTACGGGGTCGTTTAGAGAAGTCCCACCAATCGAGGTAACCAATTATCTCGTAGCAGCGCTGCTTGGAATGGCCAGACTCCCCACAATGCAAGCAAGTAAAGGAAGAGGATTTTGTCAGAGGGGCATTGTCACGGCGAGGTCTGGGGTTGGGACGAGGGGAATGAGTCAGAAAGGCAGCAGTGTCAGAGGAGGGTTTGGGGGGATTCATCGTCTGCCGTTGTTGATAATCTCGTCGGACATACGCATAAGAGCTTTCCAGATCAAGCTTGGGGTCTTTGCGTAATATTTCACCATGGACATGTTCGAACTCCGAATCGAGACCAGCAAGAAAGATGTGGACACAGAGGCGAGAGAGTGCTGAGTGTTGGTGAACCAAATCAGCCACTGAAGCAGAGGAAGCAGAGAGATGATCAATTTCTTGAAAGATGGCCAAGAGTTCATTGTAGTACGTGGCAAGGGGACGACCAGATTGCTTTGTGGTGAAGGACCTCTGGTTAAGGTCGAATAAACAGGACTCATCAGAGCCATCGTAGAACGTCTTGGCAGCAGCCTCCCAAATTTCGCAAGCCGTCTCCAACCGAATGAACCGCTTCATCAGATTAGGGCTCATCGAGTCAATCAACCAGCTTTTGACCCGTTTATTGTCCGTAATCCATGATTCAAGGGATGGGTCTCCGGGATCTGGCCGCGGGTTGTCGCCGGTGAGAAAACCGGTCTTGTTACGCGCCCCAATTCTCATATCCATGAGTTGGGACCAAAGAGGAAAATTTGTTTCATCAAGAATAACAGTTAACGGGAGAGAAGAGTGGTCCTGGTGAATGACAATATTCTGTGGAGGAGGAGGGATGGGTATGGTGGGGTTGATTTCTGGAGGATCAGGATTGTCAGCCATTGTTGAGACGAATTAGGTGTTGAGAGAAAAGAGTTCAGGAAAGGAACGGTGAGAAGAGATGAAGAAAACCGGGTCGGGATATGGGTGGGTTAAAAAAAATTATCTTTCAAAGAGAGAGAAAAAAAATTAAAAAAAACGAAGAGGTAATTACCCAAGATCAGAACCATCGCTCTGATACCATGTCAATTTGTGATAATCCATATTTCTCATTAATTGAATACTCATCACGTGAGTTATTTATACAGAGATGGAATAACAGAAAATATTAACAAACTAAATAAGAAAATATTAACAAACTAACAAATTCCTAATAATCCTAATTCTGTATCTTCTGATTACAACAATAATTTGAATTCGAATCTCCTATTCAATAGACACACGTTTCAGCATTAGGCCAGCGTGGGCAGTTTAGTCATAATGGCCAGGAGGCTTCAGAGTAAATTAGACAGAAGTTGTGAAATGTGAACGGGGTTTCTCTTTTGGTGAGCTATACGTAGCTTCCTTGTATGATATGAAAAATATCCATAGGAAGCGCTTATCCTACAGCTATAAATGCACAGGGATAGGATTAGAAACTTAGAAGCACAACACCTTGTTAATTTCAACTTCCAACCTCTCACCAATAAAACAATATCCTCTTCTTCTTATGTTTCCCTTTTCATATGGTCTCTCGATGTTTCTTCACATAATATGCACCTTGTTTCGTTGACCCCGATCCCCAACCCATGTTTTATTTGGTGATTCACTTGGTTCCTAAGCTAGAATAAATACTTGGCGTCCTTGATAATTTATATCATTCATCCTTTGCTCTGTCTTGGGAGAATTAACTTCTCAAGTTAAGGAACATTTTTTTTGTGTGTGTGTGTCTTTCTCCGTACACATTATTATTTTGCCAAAACCATGGAAGGAATAGAAGAAAGAAACGCAGGGCTTGAACACCACGATGGTGTTTATATGGGGTCCTGTTTATCAAATCTCATATTATCAGGGGGGACAAACACCCTTGACTCAATTTTCTCTCATTACACACCACCAAATACCACTATTACTATTGCTACCAGCTCTACGATGGAGCCATTAAGCACTTTGGGATCCTCAGTTTACCATCGCCAGAGAGATATCCTGCAAAAGTTCTATGAGGAAAACCGGTTGAATGGTTCTTCTGTTCCCAATTCCTCAAAAAATAAATTCCTAAACAGCATATGCACCAGCCCTTGTAACAAAAAGGTTTACAGGGGAGTGAGACAGAGACAGTGGGGAAAATGGGTCGCAGAGATTAGACTCCCTCAGAACAGAATGAGGGTGTGGTTGGGCACTTACGACACTCCTGAAGCTGCTGCTTATGCTTATGATCGTGCTGCTTATAAGCTCAGAGGTGAATATGCTCGTTTGAATTTCCCAGATGTGAAGGACCCGTGTAACTTATTAGGACTCGGAGATTCCACGAGATTGAACGCTTTGAAGAGCTCCGTGGATGCTAAAATTCAAGCCATGTGTCAAAAGGTTAAGAGAGACAAGGCCAAGAAGCGTTCTTCGAAGAAACTAAATTCTGGTAATAACGTTGACAACAGTGAGAGTGAGAAACCACAGGCACAGAAGATAGAGTCATCTTCTTGTTCTTGTTCTTCATCTTCGTTGCCGTCAAAGGTAATAGAGGAGTCGGATTTTGAAGACTGTTCCTTGGCAAGGATGCCATCCTTTGATGTTGAGTTGATTTGGGAAGTTTTGGCCAATTAGGAAAAAAACGTGTTACCATGACTGAATGTAGGAGAATCTTAGCTTATGAGTTATTTTTCAGGTTTACCACAATGCAAATGAGTGCTGAATTGTAAATGGAAATTAATATTTTGAATGTGATCTTAGTGGGTAAGCTTATGCCTGCTTAGCTGTAGGTGTTGTTTGTTTGAATGGGGACATGTCCTTTAGCTTTTTAAGGTAGGATGTGATTGGTGTTATTTCGGCCTTGAATTTTTGCTCAAGGCTTTAGGAGTCTTCTATAACAGTTTGTCTTCATATTGATTGATTCTCTTTCTCTGTCTCTCCTTATCACTCCTTCTTTATGTTTAATTTATAAATTTTGCCCATTGATGGCATATTATGTCCATGGGAACCGAGGATACTATCAATGTCCATGGGAACCGAGGATACTACTTCATCCCATTATATTATGTTGCCTCAATTATGTTATTCGTGCATGATTTAATACAATCTAATTGAACAATCAATAACCATTAATTTATTTAGAGTTTAGTGTTTGTCATTTTATTTAAATTTTTTTTTGGTATAAACCGGAGGTATCTCCATTCAACCTCCTCTGGTCCCCTTGCCATCGGGATACGGCCCTGTAAGCTAGTCCCTTATTGAAACAGCGGATGCATTGAGCTTCGCTACCGGAGGAAGGATGGGACTAAACCCTCAATCGACCTTCGCTATCGGAGGAAGGATGAGACTAAACTCCCAATCGACCCCTCATTGAAATAGGGGATGCATTGAGCTTCGCTACCGGAACTAATTTTCCAAGAATTTGCTTCAGACAAGGTTTGAACCCCTGACTCAAGCAAACCCTTGGGAGCTCAGTTGTCAACTGAGCTACCTTTGGAGGAGGTTTAGTGTTTGTGTCATTTTTAATGAAACTAAGTCATTTTGGTGTGTTTTGTCATTTTCTCTAATTTATAAAATTAGAAATAAAAAGAAAATGGAAGAGAGAGAATATAAAAAAACTTACCAAAACGACATAGTTTTATTAAAAATAACGTAACTTTGTGTTATTTAAAATGATAAATATTTTTCTTCTTAGTGAAAGGTTAAATTCTTTGCCTCAATTGTGCTATTCATGCATGATGTAATACATTCCAATTCTAGTTTTAAGTCCAAATAGTAATAAATTCGGTTTCTTTTAAGAGAAGTTTAGTGTTTTTTGGATTTTTTTTTTTTGGTAATCTAGGGGGAAAAACCCCAGAAGATCAATTCAAAACAACTTTACGAAAAAAACAAACCGAAGAAAAATCACACAAATACAAAGGCCAAATACCAGGAGGGGGTAAAAAAATACACACATTATTCTCTAAATAATTGTCTAAGGGATACTTAGAGAGCCAGTCAGCACAACCATTGCTCTCTCGAAAAGCATGAATCAGGTGAACATCCCAGTCCTTCTGTAACCATGCTCGAATATGAGCCACCAGACGAGACTCTTGAGCTGCTCTTCCACCATTGGTGAGCAAAGTGATAACCGAACTAGAATCACTTTCTAAAATACATCTTCTCCAACCACCATCCCAAGCAGCTTGAAGACCTTTTAGGATACCCCATAGTTCAGCTACAAAAGCTGAACACTGCCCTATAGGATAAGCCACACCATGTAACCATCTGCCTGAATCATCCCTTATAATGACTCCACAAGCAGCCCCACCACCAGCATTTCTAGCCGCTCCATCCGTATTAATTTTAATCCAACCTGCCTCCGGAGGAATCCAACAAACAGGAATAAAATGTTGAGTTTTCCTCAAGATAGTACCATTAGCAAGAGTCCAAGATTGGGAAATCTCACGGACGTGAGTATAAATGGTCTCAGCTTTGTAAGCAAACCAAGTAATATTTGTACCATGAACCTTGCTATTCCTCGAAAACCAAGCATTCCATATTATCACAACAAATACAAGAGACTAAGGAACAGAAAAAATATCAGTGGAATCAATTTTAAGATTATTCAAAAGCCACATATCTAAATCGGTGTTAAAAAACACATCCACTGCCTCAGGATTCAGCACATCCATCCATAGGCGTTTGATTTGAGTCTCTAGCCATATGGATTATTGTTTCATCTTCTAGTTGACACAGTGGGCAAATAGCAGAAGTCAAATTCATTCTTTCCAATACCTTCCTTGTAGGTAAACGGTTATGTGCAATTTTCCACAATAATAAACTCATACGGTTTGGACATTTAATCTTCCAAATTAAAGGCCAAATATTATCAACATGACTAACCTCAACAGGCTGATTTGAAAGAGTTCCATACAGATTTTTAACCGTGATAGCACCTGAACCAGAAAGGTTCCAACTAATTCTATCGACTCCATGAGATTCATGAGGGGGAAGTTGACTTCGAATAACTTGGATTGTATCCTGAGGAAGGAGGTCGGCCAACCTGTGACAGTCCCAAGAACCATCAGGAGCAACATAGTTCAAAACCTTTTTGCCAATCTCTGATTGCGGTATATGACAAATAATTTTATTAGCCAAGACACCTTCATTTCCAACCCAATTATCTTCCCAAAAATCAACAAGAGAGCCATCTCCTACATCCCAAACCAACCGTGGCTTAAGCTTCTGCCAAATATCACAAAGAGACTTCCAAAGTCGAGAGTGACCAGAAGAACAGTTGAAACCCTCAGAGGTGTTGTCTTCAGTAACATATTTAGCCTTCAAAACTTTGAACCAATTGTCTTCGGTGTTTTTTGGATTTTATTTGTTAAAAAAAAATTAGGGATTTAACATTTCTCATACAATAGGAGATAAATTATCTCTTAGAAGCTCAAAATAACATTGTTTTGAGGTTTGGAAAAAAATATATTGTGTTCTAATAAAATTCATAATATTTGAATAAAGTAAAATTTTTAAAATACCTCATATTTTTCTTTCCTAAACCTCAAAACGGAGTTATTTTACAATTGTTGGAGATGATCTTATTTTTTGTTACAGGAAAAATACTTTTTTCAAAATATTTATATTAGGTGGAATTTTTTTAAATTTTTTAAAAATATACTTATAATTGCATTTTAAAAGCATTCAAATAGAATAATTTTTAAAATTAACTTTTAAGATATCATTGTTATACATAAATTAATTATTTTCATATTATTTTTTTTAAAATTAATTATTTTAGAAATCATTTCACTTAAGTTTAAATCAAACGGCTTAGGAAGAGTAATAGTCATTGCTAATTTTCCAAACTCCGATAATTGAATTACAAATGAGTCAAAGTCTATAATATAAATTAGGTTGATGGACGAATTTAATCTTATTTTTAAAATTATTTATTAATTTATCTTATTTTTAAAATTATTTATCAATTTATTATATTTTATCAAAAATTGGTCACTTTTGAACATGCGAGTTCCACGAGCCTAATATGTGTAAGTGATATGATAATGACATATGTCATATTTATGGGATCTATATGGTAAATAATAATGAACTTTTATCAAAATAGAATAGATTAGTAAATAATTTTAAAAATAAAATAATTTGGTACATAATTATCAATATTAGGATAAATTAACCATTCCCCCGCAATGTCCACTACTGGAGAGTCAAGAGCAAAGAGGCCTGGACCAAATGTTATTCTCGTGCAATTGTCTATATACTATGTTCACTATTTAGTTTCTAGTGGGGCTGAGGTGCCTCACATTTGATAATAGGCCCAAATCACTTTCATGATGTATGAGACTTTGGGATTATTAATTATCTCACATTGTTGACGAAAATAATGAGAATTGCCCTCTATTTAGGGAGGGATATGATTAATTTAAGCTCTTTGGAAAAATCTTATGGTGTCCCTTTGTTATATTAGTGATTTTCAAAAAAATTGGAACTATGAGGGTGATAATCCAATTTATCCATGTTTGGTAGAAGATTTTTGAATTTTTTTCGATAATGTGATTTTTTCAGAATTTTATTTTGTGTGTAAAATGTAAACCAAAATACCATTATCACTTTCCTGAAAAAATGAAAAATTAGATGCAAAAATTTTGACAAAAATTACAGTAATATTTTAGTTTACCAAATAATATTTTAGTAACATTCTCAGAAAATTCATTTTTCACCATATTCTCGAAAATCACGATTCTCGATAAAAAAAAAATAAATTTCTCTACTAAATACCCTCGCAGTGTCCCTTATAAGCAGTTTGCGCTTCCCATATCATTTTAACAACGATATCTATGGGTGAAATGTGATGGGTTTTTTTGGGTATAGAATGTGATGTTTAATTTGGGCTTTGACATACCTTTTAAGAATGAGAAAAAAACTAAAATAATATTATTTGAAGTATATTGTATTTACAACTTATTTTATTTACAATCTATTATTCATATTTATTAATTAATTATTTATTTTCAATAAATTATAATCGTTAGATTGACGAAAATCAACAGTTAATTTTTTTTTTTTTTGTATAACCTGGAGGTATCCCCATTCAACCTCTCTCGGGATACACCCCTGTAGGCTAGTCCCTCATTAGAACAACTGGTGCATTAAGCTTCGCTACCGGAGGAAGGATGAGACTAATCCCCCCATTCGAGGAGGGAGGCACATCCTCTGGCCTAGGGGTGTTCGCGGTCTGGATTGGATCGGTTTTGGAAGCAAAAATCATCTGATCCAATCCCTTCGGTTTGATCATATAATCATTCATTCGGTTTGGATTTTTTTTTCAAATCCGATCCAATCCAATTTTTTTCGCTTTGGATTGGATCGGTTTTCGGTTTTTTGAAAATCCTAAAATTTATTTCATGATTATTGTGCAAATAACATCTTTTGTATATATTGTCTTTGTAAATTATTATTTTTTGAAATACAAAAACATTAGTAAACTATAATATAGTTTTTTTTTTGGACAATGAGATATGAAGCTCTACAAAGATAAAATTTTGTTGATGAGATGTGATTAGAATTTTTCTTGGGTTTAGTTAATGGGTTAATGGGTCTTGGGTTTAGAAATTTTTAGGTTATGATTAGGGAAAGACCCAAGTAGGTAGAGGGAAATTAATATATTGGATCGGTTTGGATTGGATCGGTTTTCATCAACCAATCCAAAAATTGATCCAATCCAATTAAAATTTGCAATTTTTCTTCGGTTTATTCGGTTTGGTTACCGCGGTTTGAATGGGTTTGGATCGGTTGATGAACACTCCTACTCTAGTCCCCAAAGATTTTTCAAGAATTTGCTTGAGGCAAGGTTTGAACTCCTGACTCAAGCAAACCCTTAGGAGCTCAGTTGCCAACTGAGCTACCCTTGGGGGTTATAGTTAAGATTTAGTTATAATAAGTTGTAAATATAACTTTTCTATTGACCCATTTAATAAAAATATCTCAAACAATGGTTTTCACTCTCCCATACTATCAATCTGCAATCATAATAGACATTCATGCATATATTTAAAAATAAAATAATATTATTACAAAAATAAAATAAAATAAGAAGCAAAGTGTACAATTATAACTTACACGAGTAATTATACTAACATAAATTAAACATATACACGTTCATTCATATTCAAACTCAATTAGGTTGTTATTAACAAGACTATGATTTTACTATATACTTTATATAATTTGTGCTAGTATATTTTTCCCAATTATAATGTGCATATCAAGTCGTTGAAAAATGTTAAGAACCTTGAGGTCACCACCTCAGAAGCTAGCTCAAAGGGTGAAAGTGTCCAAGACTTTATAAACTCCACATTAGAAAAACTTGAGTGTCCTCTTCATCAATCCAGTGTGTTTGTTCTCGCGGTGGTGGTGGTTACTGGATCAAACTTGTAATCCTAGACATTGTATTAATTAGTATGAAAAAGAATCATGATATTTTGTCAAGACGAGACACAGAAATCAGGACGATGGTGAAGTGATAAATTTCAACTGGAAAATGACACACTAACAAAAATATAAATAAGGAAGAGAAAACGGAAGATTGAGAGCATTGACCAATAGATCGAGGGTAATGCGGAACTGACCACGTGACTGGAGCCATATACTGTGTTAGTAAATATCTTATGGATTCACATTGCAACAATTGTGAAAGACTTAGTAAAACAATAAATAAATTCAGGAAAGCCAGTTGACTTGAATATGTCGGGCACCCTTAAAATTGTAAATAATGCATAGATGTAGCCCGTACTAGTAATAAAATAAAGGCGTAAGCTTTGACTTTCATGCACAAACGCGTCAGATTTTTTTTATTTGACTTTTACTAGTACAATAGTGTGAACGATGGTGCTTCATTCATCACCGCGACTCGTATTAAAAAGTAACTTGATATTCTCTTTGAGCGGTACCACAGAAATCAGAGTCTTTATTTCTATTATTCAATTACAGCTACATAATTTAAATTATAATTTAAATGTAGTATGTTCGATCGAATTATAAATTCCTTCGCAGTGCGCGTAACGGAAGTTAGAGTTACCTCTAATTAGCTCTTATGTAAAGTTGTAACCAGCTCAAACAAGATTATCTCCGGTGGTGGTGAATACATTTGATTTATTCAAAATAAATAAATAAATAAATTGTAACCTGGCCTCTTCATTTTTCTCTATTATTGTTGGTGTTTGGAAGTCATGACTCAGCCTTTTGTTGTATAAATAGCTAGCAAGTGGAGCAGAAGATAACCATTGCAAATATATCCTTCCAATCAAAATAACAGAAAGAAAAAGAAACACTCTTTCTTAATGGGGAGCACAAAAAGTGAGTCCTACTTTGTCTTTATGAGCTATGATCCAGAATACGAGAGGCTTCGAGCTGATCGGTCTGTTCTCATCACTTCTCCTTTGTATTAATATTAGTAAGAATATATTACTTACACCATTTTCTTAAATATTGTTCATTTTGATTTTTGTTGTTTGTTCTTGCTAGAACCAAGAGGGGGGCGCATGAACTTGATTTGTATCTTAGTAGAAAGCACGATGAGGTCTTAGCAAGCACCCTAGAGCCAGGAAGCTACAAGAAGATATCTTCTTTGGTCATTGTTGATGGGTTTGCAGTGGAAATCACCGAGGATCAAGTAATTATATATGCATAACTATAACCACTCGATTATTATTTTATAAATTGCCCTCTTTCTTTGTTTCTTTGTTTTCTTTTGTTTGTCTTCTGTGTCTTAATTTGCTATCTTTTTTTAAACAGGCCAATATGCTCAGATCTGCAAAAGGAGTGAGGGTTGTGGAGAAAAATGAAGAAGTAGCTTAGTGTAGAGTAGGAGATCAGTGTTAATTTTCAGGAGAAAAATCAAATGAGTTTTGTTCAATTAGCTTCTCTACTCTTGAACTTTCTCATGGTGTTTAATTTGCTATGTCAGTGATTATGAAGTTGTGAACTTTCTCATGAGAGTTTAATTATTTTGGGTATAATGAAGCATGAGTTTGGTAATTATCATCTATACCTGAATATTATATAGTCCCGAGTTGCTTGTTGGTTTAGAGTATTTCTAATTATATCATGCTACAACTCGGTTCGATACCAGCGAAAGAACACTTGTGACCACCAGAATATTATATATATATATGTTTATGCATCGTATAGGAGAACAACTCTCTTCCGCGCGCATCCGATTAATTGAACTGCACGCATGTGATGAACTGATCGAAGACCTCCTTAGTTTAAGAAGAAAATAGATGATCGATGGACCTCACCGGAAAATGTAATTTAAAAAAAAAATCGGAATTTTATTTCTTTTGTAAAGTGTGTTCTTTCTTCCCTCCTAAATCATGCATTTTAAAGTGAGTGGGTTTGAACTTTATGATTCTGATATTATTTCTAAATTAATACAATGTTGAGCTCATCAGTGTTCAAATGTAAGATACTCAAACGAAAGAAAAATGTATTCAAAGTTATTTAAATATTTAGCGTCATGCTACAACAATAGAGTCTCTAAAAAATAAGAAAGAGGAAAGATTTTCATAGGTTTCATTTGAGTAAAAATAAAGACACACGGGCTCTTTTGATACAAAACTACAGACACTTATAACGGTGTACATGGTTAAAAAATTTCTATCATCATTAATATTCACAAGTAAAAAATTTTCAGCTACCCATTGTTTTTCTTTGCATTTTATATTTTTCCGTTTCATTTTTTTATTTTTGGCTGCATGCTACATGCCACTGTGTGGGAGGGTTAATTCATGTTTAACATGGTTTCAATACATAGGAAAAATAACAAATTGCTAGCATTTGCACTAAACGACATAATTTTAACACTTTACTAAAACAAAGGAAAACAAAAAGTGAGGACACACTATAAAGAAATGGTATAATGTTTCTCATATTATACGAGATAATTTTATATTTTATAGTCCATATTTGTTTTTTTTGTTTTTTCTTTTTATATGAACCCAAACACTTTTATGTGTGTGTAGGAGATAAATTTATTTTTTATATCATACGAAATATTAAATCTATAGAAAAATACTTAGCTGTCCATTGCCAGTTCTGGATAATTACATGTCAGGCAAAGAAAGTGTGAATCGACGTCTCACATTAACAATATGATAACAAAGCTTGAAAATGGTACTTAAAACAGCCAGGCAGGGATAACAACTGGACCGGAATTCCTTTTCTAGATCCGCACAAAGTTTCTTTCACTATAATACCAAAGGTGGGGCGTGGGGCTCCGTTTTCTTTAAACCTTTTGTTTAAGTAAACCTAATTAACGCAATATCGATTAGTTTAAAGCTGGTGCCTTCTGGTCCACTAAAGGCCCAATGAATTGCCTCAGGCCCATACAAAAATGCAAATTGAAACATACGAGACAAACATCAAAGCATCAACGTTATTTAGTTTGAAAATTAATTTAATAAAAAAGTTCATTAACTGATAAAATATAATAAACTTATTTCACTATTGGATCTTGGGGCGACTATCCCAATTCCCAAAGATTATTTTCTCCATTCCTAGGATTTAAACCCGAGACTTTTAATTAAAAGAGTAAATACTATTTTCGGTTCTCAGCAAATTTTACGATGCTCACTTTAATTCCTAGCAAATGAAAAGGCTATTTGTGATCCTAAGAAATTCAAAGTGGATTCATTTTAGTCCTTTTGAGGGACTAATATGAATCTTTTTTGAATTTATAAGGGACCACGATTTCAATTGAATGGGTCTTTTTTTGAATTTCTTAGAAATCACGAATAACTTTTTTATTTGTTAGAGACTAAAGCAGGTATCGTGAGATTTGTTGAGGATAAAAATGTATTTACTCTAATTATTTTAATAAATTCTTCACATGTGAACGAATAATTCTTGGTAAAAATTGATTTAGAAAAACAGCTATCATTTTTTTTTTTTTTTGAAAATAACAGTTACCATTTTTCAAATAAAGAAGAGACAGCTAGAGCGACACGTCTATCATGGAACAATAAAAAACACTGCAAATGCAAACTCCCAATTCCCAACCAGGATTGCTAGATAAGGTAATAAAGGAGTACGAGCTAGAGTCACTTGCTTTCAATTTTCAACAAAGTTGAAAAGAAAGCCTTGGAATAAGGGTCAGACCATTCACATGCAGAAGCTATTTCTTTCTCAACCTTCAAGCTCACTGACAATGCCCCCCCTCCCCACTACACCAAGGTTGATTTTGGCCCTCTTTCCAGGTTGAATCCTCGTGCAGTCTGCATAACCTCTTAAAAATTTTCCATTTCTTTTTCTATGGAGAATATACACATGACGCATATATGGTAGGGGCCCCTTTTATTGATAGTGCTAACTTACTCAAAACAAAGCCTCTCTTGTATCTCATCGCCAAAAAAACAAAAGAACTACTTTCTCCTATGGAGTATAGCACTTAATTTGCGTGTGTAGCATACATGTCTGGATCATGTAAAGTACAAACTATAAGGGGACCCCCCGGGCGTGCAGTCAGGCCTTGGCCCTGCCTTACTCATTAAGGACAATTTCATTTATATTTTAAAGACTATAATATTAAATCCAAAAGGCCCTATTTGCTGAGAGGGGTTTGACAAAAAAGGTAATATTTTATTTTTAGTTTTCCCCCAAGAGGATGATTAATATGGCCCTTGACCCTTGAATGTTAGACATGATGGTTTACATACTTAAATACATGACCAAAAAAGAGAACAAAAGCAACCTAGGAAGCATAAGCATAATTCATCGAATATACCTAAATAGAAGCAAGAACAAAGTTAAAGATCGCATGGTTTTTTTAGATATGTACATTGTTTTTTCAATTTAACCCAAGTGTGATGAAGGTTAAATGTCTTTCCAAGTATGCTTATTCAAGGAATGAACTTTCAACCAAAAATTAATGAATTTCCATCGAAAATGGTTGTAAAGATTTTCCCGTTGATAAATTCTGTCGAAAATAGATTTTTAGGGTTTAACTATGTAGATTTACCCGTAGGCGAAATTATATATATATAAATTTTATTATAATGCTTGTGTTTTCTGAAGTCGCATGAGTTTTAAATTAAGTGTCCGTGGGAATAATACGATCGACGGAAGTGTAAAAAATGATTGTGGTTTGGAATATTAAGAATCATTATGATTCTTTAATACAAAAAAATAAAAATAAAAAAAATCTTGTAGTTTAGATTGACGAAATATCCCTCGTTCAGTGTTGTGATTCATTGTCTCTGTGTCTCTTATAGAGAATGACCACCATAGAATCTCCTCGTAAAATATAGCTACCATGTGGAAGAATTTTTCAAACTATTCTCAAGCAAGGGGATCAGGAAAAGTATGTGGGCACTCTAGAATTTCACTTTTTTATCTAACTTGTGTGGTTCAAGATCAAAAGTAAAATATTTATGGAAAAAATATATGTCATTTTAAAAGATATAAAGTTGTGTCATTTTAAGTGAAAGAAAGAGATAGATAAAGAGGAGAGAGAATGGACAAAAACAAATAAAGGTGTGGATCTCATTTCTTTTTTCTTTGTGAGAGTGAAATGACATAAATTGTGTCATTTAAAAGGATAAACATTTTTTTCCAATATTTATATATAGAAAAAAAAAACCCTAATCCTAAATTACTTGACAATTTAAGTGTCGGACTCTTGGCCACATATACACTAAAGTGAATTAAACACATTACATACACGTTATTGATTAACCAAAGTTGTCATTAACTGGAACCAATCCAGATAGTTAAAAATATGGTAGTAAAAAATCTCAATTTATTATTATGTTTTTTACGATTTTTTTTATCAAAATATTTTTATCAATATTTCAAACGCTTTTATGTTTTTACGCTTTTTTTTACGTTTTATGATTTTTTGTATCCCCTTTTATTTTTATGTAAAATTTTAATTTTAACTACCTTGATTAAAAAGATGTTAATTCAGAGTAGTCTAATTCCCTTATCAAACCAAAGATGCCATGGAAAATTAAATTTTCAGCAAAAGTCATGGAGGCGACATAATGAATTAAAGAGATTGCTTGCGAATTTCAGAATGCTTCCACGAAATGAAACAAAATAAAATAATTTAAATGCACAAAAAAAAAAAAGTTACTGGAGGTGGAGGGGGTATTCATTTAGTGTTATTTGCACACTACCGTTGTTACGTTGTTCTTGCACCAATACTTTTTTGAATAGTAAGTCACACCTACAATTTATAGTTTGAATTATATTTAATTCGATTTAACTCGACTCACAAATGTGCTAACTTCAACTTACACTCCTAGTCAAATATTGATATTTTATTTCATTAAAAAATAAAAACATAAACAAGTAAAGAGTGTTGAACAAAAAAATAAAATAAACAAGTTAGGAGTCATCATTATGTAGGAATTTTTCTGAAATTCTTAAAATTATCATATTTGAGGTCAATTCTTATTAGTCCAAGAGATATATTGAGTCTAATTACATACGTTGTATCAGTTTATTTGGAATTTGGAGTGAATCTAGGGGGATGAGACTTGATGTGGAATACTCTTGTGAGATAATAAATATACTGGTGTTTGATGTCTTTGTTTAACTGGGACAAATGGAGAGGGACATCTGCAAGACACTTCGACACTTAAATTAATACTTCGCCGATGAACTTAAGTTATGATGGATTTCTTTATAAAGTGATGGCTTGACATGCTTATAGTGATGGCTTATGTAGCCTATCTCATTTATGGGATACTTGTTTATAAACTATTTTTCTTAGATCTAGATGGAACCACATGTTTATCCTTCATTAATCATTGCTTGTTGAGGAAACTTTCGGATTCTGATATGTTGTTATCCAATCTCTAAACATTTCCTTGCTCCCTAAGCCTTCTTTGAGATTAAAAATGGGATAAATCATATCAATTACAAAAAAATTATATTTATACATATACATATACATTATCATAAAATTTATTATCTAATAATTTTCACATTTAAAATAAATGTTGGTCCCTATAATTTTCACTAATTTAGATTTTTTATAATATGTTTTTATATTTTAGTCTGTATAATTTTATTTACTTAATTTTGTGTCAAGTATCAATCCTAATATTTTTGTAGTTATTTGGATGTTCATCTCTATAATTTTTATTCATTAAAAGTAAATAATTTATGTTTTTTTTTTAAGGAATGGTCGGTTTTATAATTTAATAACACTTTAATAATTAAAAGGACTAACTTTTACAGTTTTACCTAATTTTTAATTAACTTTAAGGTTGTCATTAGTTTTAATATAATATATTTTAATGATATTTTTTTCTCTCAAAAATAATCAAATCAAGGTGGTCAATGCAGCTTTCTCCCTCCTCGCATTTGGCGCGAAAATAAGCAGTATGGGGAATAGGTTAGGGTTTCGATTACAACATAAGTGGTTTTAATTTTGGGGATTTTTGTATTCCGAAGGCATGGATTCATTACCTCCTACAAAGCGACGGCGTCAGAGTGAAGACGACGAGAATGAAGTATCAACACTTGAAAAGTTTTCACCAGTGGTCATCTTCGCTCATGGTGCTGGTGCTCCTTCCTCTTCTGATTGGATGCTAAGGTAACATAACATTTCCTTTTTGTTGCAGCTTTAAACCACTCGCATGTAGCTCTAACTATATAACTAGGTGATTTTTAATTTTAGGATTCCAAGTTTTTTTTTTTTTTTTTTTTTTTTAAATTAAAATTATAAAATGGGTTAGATCTTGTTATAGGCTTTCTAGTGAAAGCTCTATCTAATTTTTTTTTACAGATGGAAGACTATGTTGAAGGAGGCACTGCACGCTGCTGATGTTGTCACTTTTGACTATCCTTGTGAGTTTGTTTCCAACTAAATTCCTTGTCTTCCATTTCTTACATCATGCAGATTTTGCATTAAAAAAAAATGATGGGTTTGATGAAATTGATGTATTAAGTGAATCTGACGGGTTTGCCATTTGCTAGACATGTCTGGTGGGAAAAAGAGGGCTCCTCCTAAGGCAGAAAAACTGGTGGAGTTTCACTCAAATATTGTCAAGGAAACTGCAACTAAGTATCCCGGTCGTCCCCTGATACTGGCCGGCAAATCAATGGGTTCAAGGTATGTTGTGTTTTTTATTTCGACTTACATGTTGGGTTGGGGAAGTCCCGATTAGGATGATTAGTAGAAAGATATTTATGACACGATGTATCTTGTATTTATTTTATTGTAGAGTTGGCTGCATGGTGGCTAGCTTGAAAGACATTAATGTTCATGCTGTTGTATGCTTGGGCTACCCATTAAAGGTTTGATGTTCTTTTTGATAATTTCATGCCATCAACTGCCTGCGTATGATTTTCAGCTCCTTTAACCTCGGGTAGGGGTACTGAATAAATTTTCAAACTATTTGTTTATCATTAGAGTATACTCTAGGTTGTCAGTAGCGGCCCGTAGCGCCGCTAAACCGCTACCGTAGCGGGTAGCGGCGGTCGGCCGCTACAAACCGCGACGCTACGCGACATTGGCCGTAGCGGAAGGTAGCGGCATAGCGTAGCAGCAATACCTCTACCTGCTACACCCGCTACCCCGCTACACCACTCCCATGTTGGAATTTGATGGAGAATCCGAAGATGATGATGATTTTCTTTATTAGTTCACTTCTTGTACTTGGCTATTTGACAATTTTATTGTTCAGTTGTGTTTAATTTTGGATCCTTCCTTTATGTTCCTTGTATTTGACATTGATTGTGGAATTATGTGTTTGGGTATTGCCTTGTTTCTTGACTGTTAGTATAATATATGTGGAATTAATACTTCACCGTAGCGGTAATACCGCTACCCGCTACACCGCTATACCATTTCGGGGTCGGCCGCTACTGGCCGCTAACTGCTATTGACAACTATGAGTATACTCCTTGCATCATTTGTGATTTTCTTGATAATTCAACATCCACCTATCCCTTTGTTGATAATTATAGTTTAGTCATGAATCTCTATTCTTTCAAACGTGCCTTTCTTTAGCATTTCACTTCATATCTCAGTTTGGCCTAAGCTAGCTATATTTATTTGGCCTTAATATTTACTGTGCTACTCCTTTGAGTATTTTCCTTTTCATTTCTTCCTGACTTGCTCTATCATTTGCCCTTGTGATACCTTCAATTCTGTTTGCGCAATTTTTGGCATGCCACTCTTGGGCCATTATGGTTGGCACATTGGTTTTCTTGGGGTGTTTTAGCAAAACAGAGATGCCCTTGCTACTAAAAAACAGATTTTAAATAACGTAAGAAACTAAGAATTACACTAATTTAGTTGCCAATGTTCCAGGGAATGAATGGTGCTGTTAGAGATGAAACACTGTTACAGCTAACAGTTCCTACAATGTTCGTACAGGTAGTTTTTTCTTTTCTAATGCCATTAACCATTATATTATGATATAGTCATGTAGTCATAATTCTCCAGTTTCATACTATTAGTCTATTGAATGAACTGTCAATGTTTTCAATTTCTATCAGCATGGTATTCCATACTGCACGCATAAATTGTTTGTATCATGCTAATTTCTCTCCAAATTCTAGTTTTATATGTGTGTGTCTTCACAGGGAAGCAAGGATGGTCTCTGCCCGCTTGAGAAGTTAGAAGCCACTCGGCAGAAGATGAAAGCGCTCAATGAGCTGCATGTCATCAATGGTGGTGATCACTCTTTCAAGATTGGTAAGAAGCATCTGCAAGAAAAGGGTTCCACCCAACATGAAGCTGAAGATGTTGCTGTGCAGGCAATTGCCGCATTCATTTCCAGGTCTCTTGAAGGATGATGAGTGCCCCTGCATTTGTTGCTCCTGTAGTGTGTTAAGGTTTGTATATATGATTTGTTGTATCTTGCTTGGTAGTAATCTAGGCCTTGTTCTTGTAGGTGGGCTGTAATTATGTTTAGCAGAGTGGACATATTAATTCCTTGCTAACAGAATTGAAAAACCTAGTTGGTGAGGACTGTGTAAGTTTAGCTAAATGCAGTCTTATATATCAGTGTTGGACTAGGTAAGATCGCATCAGAGAACAGACCAGTAATAATAGGCAGAAACATATATTATTCGTCATAAGGTACACATAGCCAATTGAAATACAACAACAATAAGACCTTTATGAAATCTTGGCATTTATTCCCCCCAACTATTTTGGGTACAAGAATGGCATTATGAAATCATAAAGACACTGTTTATTTATAAAGATGTTTTTTGGTCTTTCTTTTCGTTAACCAAGCTTTGTTGAGTTGCATGCCATTGCAGCTGCTCATTTCATCAATTCTGCAGATGCAATAAAAGAGTCAAAAATAAAAAGACTCATCAATAAGACAAGTTAAATCTTGTTCTAACCAAAAAACATGCATGCATTTAATGTAAAAGATTTTCGTTTCCATGTGATTATTCTTCAGGATAGACTTGAGCATTCTTGAGTATTTTAAGTGCACTTGCCTTTGTCTTTGGGCACTTCTCATCATCACTTTCGCTCTCACTGCTGCTGCTGCTGCTTCCTTCCTTGCTATGGCGGGACTTGCCATTCTTAAACCTCCGGAACAGATTCCTTTCCTTCTTATTGTTAAGCTCTCCATTCTTCCTGGCATGAGCCCCAAAGCAATTTGTAGTCGTACCATAGGGACGAGGATCCTCGTTGGTTTGGGTGATTTGGGCTTGGACCACACAAACTGTGATCTGAGTTTTGGAAACGCCATGCTTCTTGTCGTGTTTGGTCTGAGTTTGGTCATAGTAGTGAGTCTTTGTTTCAGAGCCAGTGTGACCGTGCGACTCAACCTGAGTTTGGCTGTAACATTGAAGTTGATTTTGGCTGCTACCATGGCGGGCATGATGCCCTTTGAAAGCCTTGTTGGTTATCTCAGAAATTTTTTGGCCAAACGAGCTGTGTTGGCTTTTTGGTTGGCAAACTTCAATGGTGGTATTGGGTTTCTGACACTGAGCCGAAGCCATTGCAATAGCTTATGTTGCTCACCCCTGATTTGTTTCCTTGCAGTTGCATGGTAACGCATTAAGGGCCTTTTATTGGCACAACGAGAGTGAGGCTCCTCCTTCCACTCCCTCTAGTGGAGAAATAAAATAACCATTCAATTATGCTTTTAGAAATATGCCATGAATAAAAGTAGTCTTTACCGTTTTTATATAAAAAATAATAATATAGAAAATAGGAATTTATTCTCTGGGTCGTTTGAAAATATATTGATATACGATTTCAGTGAAAGAACCTAATTTCGTGGCATTAGCACCGTAGATAACACTGACAGGTTGAATAAGTTCCCACTCAATTTGTAGACCAAGAATATAAGAAAAGAAAAGCTAGTATGGCGATTTAGCTTTTGGTAAACAGCTCATATGGCATATTTGCTATGAAAATTTCTCCAATTGTTTCTTTTCAGTTAATTATACGGTGTCTTAATAATTGTTCAAAAGTATTTTATCCAGCGTATTAACAATAATAAACTAGGTAATTAGAACTTTAACTAAGCTCATAATTCAAATTTAGAATCATAATCTCAATTATTAATTTGATGCAGCTAAACAAATATTTTTTAACATCTCATCTTCGACGTTGAAAATAAGCCTCTTGTTTGCCTGACCTTTCTTATAAATAGACATAGTTTTAGTAACCATCGAGTCGAGAAGAATTTCAACGGTTCCGGATCACCATTTATTCAGTGGTCCGGACCAATCAAAATCATACAACTAATGAACAGAGAGAAGAAATAAAAAATAATTTTTTGTCCAAGTATCACCTCTTGAATGAAAGAATCACATGGAGACTGGAGCACCAAAAAAAATTCCCATCCAGTCAAAATTCTCTAAATTATTAAAAGAATTGTTTAAAGGCTAACCAACTTCTAAATAAACAAATTTAAAGCAATAACTAATTAGTGTATGAGTCGGGACCTATTTTAAGAACTCCATTTGTAACCATTTCTCTATTGACTATATGGGAATGTAAAGCACTCTCAATAGTGTCCTAAGAAGTCAAGGTGTACTTGTTGGAGATCATATGTTATATTGGTTACAGTTACATAGTTATGGAAATAGATTACTCAACTAAAGTAGATTTAAGAAAAAATTGGAATTAACACATAATTTTTACATAGAAAACCTTTTTTTTTGTGTGACACATATTACAAGGAAAATTTACGGACAAAAGTAGAAATTTTTTTCATTGAGTGAAATAAATTATAATCTCTATTGAAATGTAAGGAAAGAACAAAAACATTATTATAAAATGTAACACTCCATATGTGCTCGGTTAATTACACCATTGAAGTTCAAAGCAACAAACAGTAGTTATTTTTGGTTGGGGAAGAAATAAATCTGAAGGTCTGATTGGACTTCCTCTTTTGCTTGTCCCTTTGTTATTTTGGGTCCATCAGTCTAGGTTAACAAAGGATATTTCTTAAACCATATAGACCAAGAACAAGCATGGGTATGTACTAAAAAAGAAAAGAAAAAAGAACAAGCATGTGTTGTTATTCAAAGAACATTTCAGTATGTACAAGTAGGGGTGTAAATGGGCTGGGCTGGGCTGGGCTTTGGCCATCCTGGCCCAAGCCTACGTCAAAAAAAATTCAGCCTATCTGGCCTACTGGCCTATTAAAGGCTTTATTTGTAGGCCAAGCCCGGCCCATTTTCAAAAATAAGAAAGCCTGACATGGCCTACAGGCCTTGTAGGCCTCCCACTATATATACTAAGCAAAAAAAAATAATTGTATAGAGCAAAGAAAGTTCCATTCATGCATGCACTAGTACTTCTCATAAGAAAAAAATGACAAACAAGAAAGAGTCAACATAATACCTCAGCTCTAGAATGTATATCATAGAGGAATAGAGTCAAAGAAATAGGAAAAATAAAAAAAATACAATTAGTGGATGCTGAAACAAAGTCTACAAGAGAATGTCATTCATCTAAAAATCTTTAAACCACCATCAAGACAAGGGAAAGAAGAGCATTATTGAAAGATCTTCATCAATAACATCATAATCCAGCAAGGTACCCATTGCTCCATGGTATTAAGCTGCAACAGCATATAAAATTTGGAGACATTAGACAAGTTTTCCTTTCGTAAAATAAAATAGCACAAAAAGTAAGAGATATTGGTATTTGGTACTTTGTGTCTTTGTCACATAAAATAAATATTATTTTATTATTTTATTTTAATAAATTAAATAGGCCAGCCTACAAGGCCATAGGCCGGGCTTGACAAAATTGGCCTATGGCCTATTTATTAAAAAAGCCTTTTTATAAGCCTAAGCCTACTCTACTTTTCTGAAAGGCTGGGCCTAGGCTGGGCTTAATGTAGGCTGGGCCGTAGGCTGGGCTGGGCCAGCCTGGCCCATTTACACCCCTATGTACAAGCAGTATTAATTTTGACATACAGAACGAAATACACATACTAAAAATTGTTGAATCTCTTTACAAAATAGGAGAAACACTATGAATTCCCCCCCTAGACGATTAGAAGATAAATCAGGCAAAATTTCGACCTTACACTTTCTTACGAGGTTCCGCCGGAAACACGCAAGAAAATTTTACATTTAAATGATTGCAATTCCACTGAAAATCTTGTACATGCACAATAACTTGTCCAGTAACCTCTATTGACTTTTCAAAAAAAGTGGCAGTATTTCCTCATGTTTAAAATAAATATTATACTTCAATAGTGTAATATAAATTAACACTGGCCGGGAGGTCTCATTGTTGCATGATTTAATAACTTGCCTGACTAGTCCAGTTTTTTGAAATCTATTTTGCTTGCATGTGGTTGAGAAAATTATCAGCAAAATTTGGTTGTCTTTTAGTCAACAAAGACGTGCTATCTTTTTGTGGGCTGATTATGGAAGATGCAACTATATGGAGTTTAATTTTGACATTATTAATGTAAAACTTTTTTTTTTTTTTTGGAAATATTTCAATCGGTTCATTGCTTCGCAACTAATCCGATTCAGGGCGGGTCCAGGATTAAGGCTTTAAACCCCTCCCAAAGGTGGTACTGAGAAGATTCGAACACATGCAGATAACTTTCATATAATATTACCATATAATCTTGTCTTGGTAATTTACTAAATGAGGTTCATTAATTTTTTAATCTTTCAATCGCAAAACAACGTCATTTTAAAAAGTAAATGCAGATAACTTATATGCAGCAGAAATATTTTTCTGATATATATATGAAATACCAAAATTATTAAATAATGTAATAACATATCATTAAATACAACTAATTTTTTTTTGTATGAGCTCTAAACATTGTCTTTTAATTAAGATTCATTTGGACGAGCAGAACTACGTTTGGCAAATCATATTTTACGAAATCGTCCAGTAATGGTAATTTAAATTGTTTATAATGTCATATAATTTTGATTTTCTTGTTGGATTTGTGTTTTTTTTACTTAAGCCCAATTGGGCTAAGAGTATGATAATAGTCCAAAAAGCTTAGAGCTCATGTAGAACTTTAGGGTTTTCTTTGGCACCCATATATATACTATTACTTAAGCCATCAGCCTCAAGGTTATTGAACACAGGAGGTAAGCTCAGATCTCAAAAGTGCCCATACACTTCCCCATTTAGATAGCTTGGAAGGTTTAGCAAAACTTAGAGAAATTTGTTCGTGGTACAACCCAAGGGAGTTTTGTTCGTGGTACAACCCAAGAGAGATTGATTCGTGAGCTCGTGCTGTGACGCAAAGGACTCATCTCAAATCTGCGTTATAAGAGAAAATTGTGAACCAGTTACATCCCAAACCGTAATGATCTAAAACACTCCCGCAGATCCAATTACGCCTGCATTTCTATCAAGGTAAATAACGAAACTAAAGCACAATTGCAGAGCTTCAAATTTCAAGCATATCAGAAATCCACTTTCAATTATATTCATTTATTTTCTGGAATTTGCAAAATCCGGGCATCTGATAAAATGCAGAGGCACATATTATAAATTGTATACCACAGCAATATAAATATCTTACTACAAAAAAATTATAGATCGAAAATTTTGTCAGTCTGAGTTATCAAACGATAATATATAGCTCGATCTTTTTTTAGTCAATATACAATTAATCAATTACTTCCACCTTTAACGAAGGTTTAGAGGAATATATCCGAGTCAACGAGTCATGAGGGCAGGATTGCTAATAAATTGGACAGGATACATATATTACAAAGAAAAATTTAATAATAGAGAATAACTGATTTCAACACCAAATAGTTTTATTCATAATAGGAAGAACGATTTTATTGATAGGTCTCAATCTCAGAGTTGCACCATAACCGAAGTACATTGGTTTATTTTCATCAAAATACATTGATTTTTTTTAGGGGTAAAAAATACATTGATTTTTTTTTTTTGGTAAAAAAATACATTGATTTTTATTATTAAGGTACTATTAATTATTTTTTATTTGCCATTTTTATTTATTTATACTAGGAAGCAAACACCAAACATTACATTGGCCTCTGAGTTGTGAATTCTGATCCTCGAATTCCATTTATTATCAGTACAGCTTGGATATTGTTATACAATATGAAAAGCTCAACTTTGTCTTGACTATCCCTAGGCCAGAATAGCCTGCAAAAAATGCATCTAAGGCAACTAAGATGCAGTTTTTGAATTAGGAGAAGGCAAATGTTGCAGTTCATTACTATATTCTATCTAGTCTCGCTTATCACTTGCAGGTGCAAGTGAGCATGATTGAGAGCAGAACAGAAATGCTCAAGACTCTTGATGACATGTTTGCTACTTCTAGTAGTTCTGCTAGGCAGAGTGCCCTGACTGCGGTCACCAACACCGTGATGGCTGGAGGAACTGTGCGGGATCATTGTTTGACAATGATAGCAAACTTCAAAAGAGCGGATGACCATGGGATCAAGTTTGAACAAGAGGTAAAAGTTGACCTCCTTCTGCAGTCACTGCCTGAATACTTCAACCTGTTCAAAATGAATTATAACATGAACAAGATGAATCTGGATCTTACTCAACTGATGCACGAGCTTGAGAATGCTGAACAGTTTCTGGTCAAGCAGGAAACTGCATTTTTTTGCCGTTGAGAGTTCTGTTAAACCTAAGAAGAAACCCAAGGGAGGTAAGAAGAAGAGATCAGGTATTCCAGTTGCCAAACCAGTTACAATGAAGCAGCCAAAAGGCAAGTGCTTCAAGTGTGGACGGAAGGGGCACTGGAAGAAAAAATTGTCCACATGTGAACTAACCAGGTATGGGTAATTTACTTGTGATTGAGGCTTGCTTAGTGAAGAATTACAATAATAAATGGATCATTGATTCAGTAGCCACTAACCATATTTGTTACTCTTTGCGGTGGTTCAAACATAGCTTGCCTATTAGTCAAGGACAAGGAGTTTTGAAGCTTGAAATGGGGAGATTGTGTCTGCACTAGCAGTATGATAATTGTAACAAGTTGTTTTATCATTTGATAATTGTAAATGATTTTGGAAGACTGTTTATTTGTTCCGAATTTTAAGAAGAATTTAATTTATTTTAGTTGTTTGGTTAAACATGGTTTGATAGTTCAGTTTAATTCCTTAGTTTCAATAAGAAGTTCATCTTCTTTTATTTGTTCCAGTATATTGCTTAATGTTATTTATTTCCTTAGTCCTACACCCCATGAAGTTAATCATGTTGAATTAGGAGACGATAATCATATTCATTTATCTAAGAAAAGAAAGGTTTCGAATGAAACTTATCTTTGATATTTGTGATTGGGTCATATTAACTCTAAGAGGATACAATGTTTGGTCAAGAGTGTGATTTTAGAATCCCTGGTCTTTGAATTGATACCAGTATGTGAATTTTATTTAGAGGATAAAATGACTAAGCGATCTTTAAAGGCCAAAGGGAACTATGCCACACTTCAGCTGGAATTGGTACATATGATGTATGTGGACCAATAAATGTCCAGGCCAGAGGCAGGTATGAGTATTTCATCACATTTACTGATGATTACTCAAGGTTTGGATATGTGTACCTGATGCGTCATAAGCCTGAAGCTTTTGGAAAGTTTCAAGAGTTGAAGGCTGAGGCATAAAAGTATCTTGATGTTCAAATCAAGACTTTTCGGTCTGAACGAGGAGGTGAATACCTATCTGGAGAGTGCAGGCCCTACCTGACTGAGGAAGGGATTATTTCACAACTATCTTCTCCAAGTACACCCCAGCAGAATGGAGTTGCTGAAAAGAGAAATCGAACCTTTTTAGAAATAGTGTGGTCCATGCTCAGTTATTCGTCTCTGTCTGATTCATTTTTGGGGATATACCTTACAAATTGTCATGTACTTATTGAACTTAGTTCCGTCCAAATCTGTTTCAAAGACACCCATAAATTATGGAAAGGGTACAAGCCCAAGTTGAACCATATTTGGGTTTGGGGTGCTCCGGCACATGTCTTACAATAGAAGCCAAATAGGCCATGTGCTTTTTTACTTAAGCCTAATTGGGCTAAGAGTGTGAGAAGAGTCCAAGAAGCCTAGACCCCATATAGAGCTTTGGGCTAGGATTTCTTGGCACCCATATGTATACTACCACTTAAGTCATCAGCCTCAAAGTTAGGGGTGGCAATACAGGTATTGACCCGCGGGTTGACCCGTGACCCGACCCGCCAAATCACGTGTCGTGTCAACCCGCAGGTCGTGTCAGGGTTGTGTAAATGTGAATCGTTTTTTTTTCGTGTCGGGTCACGTGTCAACTTGCGGGTTCGTGTGTCAACCCGCACAGTGTCATTTTTTTAATTTTCAATTAAATTTTTATTATATATTATTTTTATTCATTTATATATTGATATTTATAGTCATTGTTTAGTATAGAAAAGAATACAAGGAACTAAAAATCTCAAGAAACAGAAGCTAATCTTTTTTTATTTTATTTTTTATTTTTTTATTGTTTTTAATTTATTTATTTTTCAAAAAATCCCACTTTTTTTTAAATTTTAAATTTTGCGGATCGTGTCGTGTCAACCCGTGACCCGCAACGGGTCGTGTCAGGGTTCGTGTTTTGTGACCCGTTTACAAAACGGGTCGTGTCAAATAGTGTACGGGTCGTGTCGTGTCGGGTTGACCCGTATTGCCACCCCTACTCAAAGTTATTATTGAACAGAAGAGGTAAGCTCAGATCTGAAAAGTGCCTACACACTTCCCCTTCCCCTTCCACTCGAGGGATAACTTGGAAGGTTTACCAGAACTTAGAGAGATTTGTTCGTGGTACAACCCAAGGGAGATTGATTTGTGAGTTCGTGCTGTAACGCAAGAGACTTCAGTTCATGTAGGATCATCTCAAATCTGCATTACAAGAGATAATCGTGAACGATGATAATCCATTGCATCCCAAACTGCAATGGTTTAAACCACTTCCGTAGATCTAATTGCGCCTATATTTCTATCAAGGTAGTGTACCTTGCCAAATCTTAGAACGAAACTAAAGCACAATTGCAGAGCTTCAAATTTCAAGCACTTCAGAAATCCACTTTCAATTATATTCATTTATTTTCTGGAATTTGCAAAATCCGGGCATGTGATACAATGCAGAGGCACATATTATAAATTGTATACCACAACAATATAAATATCTTACTACAAAAAAGTTATAGATCGAAATTTTTTTCAGTCGATGAGTTATCAAACGATAATATATAGCTCGATCTTTTTTTAGTCAATATACAATTAATCAATTACTTCCACCTTTAACGAAGGTTTAGAGGGATATATCCGAGTCAATGAGTCATGAGGGCAAGATTGCTTATAAATTGGACAGGATACAGTTATTACAAAGAAAAATTTAAAAATAGAGGAATAACTGATTTCAACACCAAACAATTTTATTCATAATAGGAAGAACGATTTTTTATCATAGTACAAGCATTTGTTATTTATTGATAGGTCTCAATCTCAGAGTTGCACCATAAGCGAAGTACATTGGTTTATTTTCATCAAAATACATTGACTTTTATTATTAAGGTACTATTAATTAGTTTTTTTTTTTTTTTTTTTTTTTGCCATTCTTGTTTGTTTATAGTAGGAAGCAAACACCAAACATTACATTGGCCTGTGAGTTGTGAATTCTGATCCTCGAATTCCATTTATTATTGGTACAGCTGCTCCTTAATTTCAGTCCTGCATAAGTGCATATACACATACAACAAAGTGCCAAAGTATCAGTAAGTCAAATTGAGTACAATACAAGAGAAATCAATTAATAGTATAATATATGATTATGAGGGTTACTTGCCTTCCTCTTTTGGCAATTTTCATTGTCGCTTTCACTGTCACTGCTGCTGTCACTGCTATGACCCGATAAACCATCCTTCATCTTCTGGAAAAGATTTCTCTTGTGCTCCCTTTTAGTTCTTCTCCCTTGGCTTTTAGTTGGGGTGCCATTGGTGTGAGTGGTCTCTGTTTGGCAGCATTGAGTTTGAGTTATGGCGGTTAAATGCCCTGATTGGGACAGCACCTCGGTTTGGCTACAGCATTGGGTCTGGGTTTTGGGTTGCTGATTATGATGCCCTTTGAACAATTCAGATACTTTCTGCCCCAATGAACTGTGCTGGCTTTTCTGTTGGCAGCTTTCTTCGCAGGTTTTGTAGCACTGAACGGAGGCCATGGTAATAATTAGACAAGGGGTGGTGTTGTTGTTGTTGTGTGTTGCTTGTGATCGTTTGTTGTTTGCTTGCTTTTGATGCTTGAGAGTTTAGGGAGCGAGCTCTTTTATATATATATAGGAAGGCATTGGTGGGGTTGAATGGGCTTCCATCTCTTTCCGATTGAATTGTTACATCAATGCACAATTTGGAATATTAATTTTTCTTCTTCTTGATAGGTCGAATAATATGGCAAGAATCTTTGTATTATATTCTATCATGTCACTAACTTTTTATCGTTTTTGCCCACCGAATATATACCAAATTAGTTTCGTTCAGAAAAATAAAAAAATAGAGGAGATATGAGAATCCAATATATGTATGTTGTGGTAATGATCAATTGTGAGTCCCCGGCTAGTGAGAACATCTTCCATATACAACTGTAATAGGTAACTCTTTTATTGAGCAACTGATATTTGGATAATAATTTTTTTTTCTCTTCTATATCTACAAATATCACAGTCATTCATAAATTTTTATTGGCTGGTAACTTAAAAAAAAATAGTGCAACATTATTATATTAGATATTTCCCTAACTAGCCCACTTCACACTTGCAATTCTACAACCTTCCGATTCATACGGAACATGCAATTGAAAAACGTATCGAATCATCTTGATTTGTCCACATTATTTGAGCTCCAGAAAGGTAATGAATAGTGGTGAGGTGATGTACTTAACTAATTTATTCCATCGATATGTAAACGCCTGATAAAGTTTCTTCCACTTATACTATACGTAAAAATGATTTATTTGCTAAAAAAATGATTTTATAAGTTTTTGTTTTTTATGCATGAAACACAGAGAAAAAAATAAATAAAGAAAATCATTATTTATTAAGGGAAGAGATTTTCATCTCTAATTTTTTTTATATTTTTTTTTTTCAAAATTCCAGTTCCGTATCCTGTGTGTGTGCTGTGATTTATAGAGAATTTAGAAAAATTATAGGTGCATTTTTGTCAAAAGTTCTTTCTTTATTCTTGACTTTTCTCTTATCTTCATTCTTGACCATTGAAATTGTATAATTTAAAAACGTGTTCTTTGCATCAGTTATAATCCTGATATTATCATTTCAATGGAACGGGTCTCAACTTGAACGGAGTTTTTGTAACTTCAAAATAGACCAATCACTACATATAAGTTCAGGTTCGATAACAGCATTCATCCTTCAGCATATAAGCCCATTTTGATTCTCTAGATGTCCATCCAAATTTTGGGTTCTTCATGAGTTGTAAAATTCTTTTTATGTTCTTCATAATATAAAATTCATATTCATCAAATCTTTAAAACTTAAGTTATTCCTCAATGACTTAATTATATAAAAAAAAATATGATTAAATCCAATTTTTAACCAAAAATCAAATATAATCAAGATCAATTAATTAAGCGAATAAGAGATTTAAAAGACAAAATATGAGGATTAATATATGAAAATTATGTTTACTAAATTTCTCACACTTTGTCCGTCGCGAACAAATAATAATTCGACAATAAGGGATAAAAAAAGAACACGAGTTAGAAGGGAAAAAAAATAAACTGAAAAGGATTGACCATCACATAATAGACTCTCAAGTTTCTCGTATATTTAAAAAAAAAAAAATGTTTCATCCAAATTCAACGAATGAAAATTGACTTACTATGAGCTTGTTCTCATTAGACACATATTGGGGTACAATTAATAATTCTAGAATTCATTGTGGAATCTCAAAGTCCATCACCACGATTATATTTTTGTTGGATTGGTAACAGCCAACGTTATATCAATTATCAAGTACCCGATTGGCTATATTGTACCCACGCCGAGGAAATCGAGTCTATACATAAGAAAAATATCTCTCTCTAAATATATTAAACTGTTATTTTTATAATCTTTAAATCACCACTAAAATTAACTCCACCATAATGGTGAGTAAAATAGGCACTAGAGAGTATCTAACTTAGTTGTGTATTTGTGTTGATTTCTGTTCTGACTTATCACCGGAGAATTTCTCTTCTTTTCCTGTATTGTTGTCTCTATACACAAACAGTAGGTTCGGCATGTCTAACTTTTTCTAGCTAGGTGGCAATTCTCTACTTTCTCTCTCCCACGCTTGAGAGAGACATTTTCTCTCTAAATACTCCCTCTCACCTTGAAGGGACATCATCTTCTTCTCTATCCATCTCATAAGCTGTTACTTTGTACATTAGTAGAGCCACTCTAGCCACCTTCACCCCCCCCTCTCTCTCGACGAACAATGCATGAGAAGCTTTAACAGAGCTTTGGTCCTTAATCGAGCCGACAAAACGAGCTCGACTTTACGGGCTGACAAGCCCTACCCGTCAAACGAGGTGGGAAGGGGTGGGTTTTATAACTCACTCTCAAAAGCAAAACAGAAAGAGTTAGTTCATTTTTTGGCTCGAACGAATCAGTGTAAAATAAATTTGAGCTGACGAGCCAACCCGCCCTGACCCACTAAGTTTTTTAGTCTACTCTCAAAAGCGAGATAGGATGAGTTAACTTTTTTTTTTGGTGATTTGATGGCGGGACGGGACGAATCGCACTTCCTACTTTGTCACCTCTAATCCTTACCATGGCTGGTGGGGAAGTATCCATAGATTGACATATTTTACCCTATACGGACAACTTCGATGAAGAGAGCGAAAATAAAAATCGGGTAGATGGCAACAACCGTAAGTCACGTAAGCAATCGTTTATATTTCTCTCTTTCTCTGAGGTAATGATAGTAAAGGACCCAAGCGACTACGCGGCATGAGGTTTGAAAATTCTCTGGTCCCTTCCTTTGTTCATTCGAACTCTGACATTTTAATCTTCAATTAAATCATGCCTAGCAAGAGTACGGACCTTTTATCAACCAATAATAATTTATCGAGTTGGAGTGGACTTGGTCAGCATTCTATTGGTCACTATTCACTGACCAAATGCTAGTCTTGGCTGAAAAACTCGCTTTATCAGTCAAACTTGGACTTTCTACCCTCATATACACTCCTTTCCTTTGCTCCCTTATTTGCAACTCAAAACCCCAACCCTTTAAATACAAGGCCTCCAATTCCTTCATTCAGCAAAACAAAAAAAAAAAACAAAAAAACTTAGCTCCCAAGCTTTGCTTCTTCAGCCCCACTCCCGCTCCCCTGTCTGCTCTAAACATCAAACCATTCAACCATAAGAAATCCATTTGAAATTTCAAAGGTCGTTCAGGCCAAGTCCATGTCCATAGCTTACTATAATACTTTACCATTCGAAGGATCTACTAAATTTCTTCAGTTTCCAACTCTGCTGCAGAGCAAGAAACTATTGATTCTAGAGAAAAGTGCATTTCCAGAGTAGAAAGTGATGCTCTTGGGCATGAAATAGATATCAAGCACCATCATACTCAGACATTATTAAGGTGAATAAACATTACAAAATGGAGAATGACCGGAGCTGGGAGCAGAACACACTCATCAATGAGCTAGTTCAAGGGATGGAGGTAGCAAGGAAGTTGAAGGCAGACTTGAGGACACCATATTCAGTTGACACAAGGGATATGATGGTTCAGAGGATATTATCTTCTTATGAAAAAGCTTTACTAATTCTAAGATGGAATGTATCAACTTCCGAGTTGCAGGGCATGAGTCAAGCAACATCAACTTTGTTACCAGAGTCCCCAATATCTGTCAACGGAAGTCCTCTGAGGAAGGACATTGATGGGGCCATCAAGGATCCCGAGGAGGTTAAACACGATTCAAAGAAAAGGTGAGTTTTACTAGACAGACTTGGTATCAGTTTTCCACTACATAAACATCAGCTATGTCTGGTTATACTAAAGCTCCTAACAAATTGTTTTTAAAATGGGTTTCAGAAAGATAATTCCCAAATGGGTGGATCAAATAAGAGTGAGCTCCGAGAGTGGCCTCGAAGGACCATATGAAGATGGCTACAACTGGAGAAAATATGGTCAGAAAGACATCCTCGGTACCAAATATCCCAGGTGAGAGGACTTCCCCCTTCCTGCTTTAGAAAGGAATCACAAAAATTCCTAAGTACAAAAATTTCCTTTAGTTTTGTGGGCATCTAATTAAGAACCCATAATCACATTTGCAGAAGTTACTATAGGTGCACCTTCCGCAACACTCAGGGCTGCTGGGCCACCAAGCAAGTACAGAGATCAGATGAAGATCCCACTATATTTGACATAACTTACAGAGGATTGCACACCTGTTCTCAGGGAAACAATGCCGTTCAGCCAACTAAATCACCGGACAAACAAGAGAGACCACAAAGTCATAATAATGATATTCACCATGCACAGGCATCACAAGAAAGCCTTGCAAAGTTCAGAAACATCTTGACTGTCAGTACGGATAAGCTGGGAAATGAAGAAATGACATATCCTTTCACTTTCCCTTCGACCTCATTTGGATGCATGCCACGAGAAAACCACAGCTTGATTCCTTTGCCCCTAGAGAATGATTCCTTCTTGAGCAGCCTTTTCCAAGCACACTTATTATCTCAAACAACACCGGAATCAAACTATTTCTCATCTCCAACTTTCCAGATGAATGAGTTTGATGGGGACTACAAGAAGCCACGTTCGGAATCTGATATTACTGAGATCATTTCCACCAACACATCAGCCACCAATTCTCCAATTCCCGATTTCAATATCTCACTTGATCCAGTGGGAATTGATCCCAATTTCCCTTTCAATACCCCAGGATTTTTCTCCTAAATGCACTGAAGAATAAATGGAATATTATAAGGATAAAGTCATAATAGAATAGGACAACTTCAGACAGTACTAGAATTGTAGAACAATGAATCAGCAATGGTAGCACTAATAAATGTCCTTATAGTCAATATTAGAACTACAATTTTGGCACCGTTTAGCAGTACTTACATTCAAATAGATAAGTGCTCCGAATTTGCATTGATAAAATACAACCTATAATCCACATCTTTAGTAGAAGGGCAGAGCAGTCATAATAATGAGAGCAAATAACTAAAGCAAATTAAGTTACATGATTACATCATTCCTAAAAAAGAAAAAGAAAAAGAAAAGTCAATATTAAAAGAGAGCTTTTAGAACATTATTGAAGGGCAAGCCGTTATTCTTTTAGCATGAAAGGGAACAACTCAAAAATTTTATTTACAGATTGGTACAAAATACACAAGAGGCTGCAGGGATAATCAGAGTCCCAGCCAAAGTTTGGAGCCACAACTGAGCTGATAGAACAAATGACAATAGTGCCAATAGTAAGAAGGAATTCAAATATGAAGCTTGCATCCAACGTTACTCCTCCTCCTTCAAGCCTGAGTCAGGATTGGGTGCACTTTGTTCTGAATTTCCAGCTTGCCTAAGGCCCTCTCTCAGACCCATAACAATGAACAAGTTAGTGAGAGTGAGAAGCGACTCAGCCCCACCATGTAACCAGTCCACATTGGACAAAGAAGTTCCATAATGCACCTTTGCTGTCATGCATGCCATTTAAAAGAAAAGAAAAAAAGTAAGAAAGAAAAAAATCAGATACCCACATGGCTTATGCCTATCAAATGAACTTCATTTTCAGCAAGTGAACTTAAAAAACTCACCATAAATTCCAGCTGGTACTGCTCAATTGTGTCATAAAAGAAAGGTTCAAAAAAAAAATAAAAAAAATAGAGCAATTCAGCAAAGTTGACATTTTTAAAGAAAGCAAGAAAGAAGCATGAAGTAAAATAAAAGGGGAGAAATAAACTGACTTGTGGCGCCAACAAAGGCAAGCAAAAAATAGAAACCAAAGAGGGTGAGGTTTGGAGCAGTCTTGGACTTGGTAATGAAGTATAAGAAGCCGATGTAAGGAAACAAGGAAAACGCAAATAGCTGGGAAGCAATGCTCTGTGAGTCAATGGTGGGTGCCCATGGATCAACACCAAATGGCAATGGCAATGGCAATGGCAACCCACACACAATCATCCCTCCTCTCTTTCTGTAATTTTTCAATTCCCTGCTTCTTATGACGCTGCCTGCATAATCGTATTGCACAAAACTTGATGAAGGAGGGTTCAGAAACTTTGGGGATTTACAAAGGGACACAAGTGGGAAATTAATAGTAATAGTGGATGCCATTTCGCAAATTGGAACTCTTCAATTCATTACTGAATTCACTTCTATCTAATATCTTGATGCAACATTGGTTTGGGACCGTTCAATTTGTCAAGGCGTTAACGAAATGGGCTGGGCCGAGCCAGTTGAGCCCCATTTTTATAATAAAATATTTCGGATCTTCATGGGAATTATACATGGTATGTCATCAATTAAGGTTGTGCAAATACAGTATTATAATTGTAAGTAAATTTTTATTTTTATATTTTCCTTTTTTATGTGCAATTTAGTAAAGTTAAAGTTGAGTGATATGTTCTGTATGACTTTAACATTTGATTTATGAGTTCGTTTTTTCTGCAGTTACTGCAGATAAATTATTTGCAGTAAGCCAATACGACGTCGTTTTGGGACGGAAATTATGGTGTTTTTGTAATTTTAATTTATTTCAGGATTATAATAGTCTTTATATTTATAATTTTTTAAGATTTCAATACCAAAACGACGTCATTTTGAAAATAAATGCATATAACTTATCTGTATTAACTGCAGAAACATTTTTCTGTTGATTTATTCGGTTCACTTAAAACCATATGTTGTTTGAATTAATTAAGTTTAGGGGGTGTTTGGTTCAAGTTTTTGGAGAGGATTACCGGTAATCCTTCTTTGGTAAATGTAATTACCACGTTTGGTAGAAGGAATAAATTACGATTCCCGGATATCCAAGGATTACCGGTAATTTGATTTATAAAGAAAAGTCACTATTCAGATTACCAAAAATAATATGGTAATTCGGAATACCAATCAGAATACCAAGTGAAAGGAAAGCACAACAATAAATTTTGAGACAAAAATACCCCAATACACATAAAAATCTAGACCCAATCTATCAATTACAAAAGTAAAAATAGTTTGGGGTTATTTTTGTAAAATAACCTCATATTCCAAGTCATATTTCGTTCTAAACCAAATATGGAATCAGTAATTTTTACCCAATATTCCCGGTAATATTTTGGCGAACCAAACACATCTTTCGTAAGATTCCAAGTAAACTCAATTTCTACTGAATTCCCATTAATCATGATTCCCGGTCACCAAAAAATTTCTCCTGTACCAAACACACCCTTATTGAAGAGTGACCCATTAACCAGCTGTCACTTGTTAAAACTAGCACCAAGTCTGGTTTCGTAGCAGTTTAATATAACCATATAAGTGCGACTCATATCAAAGTAAACATCCATGAATATCCTTGCAGAATGGCAGCCAATGCCCACCGGCAAAGTACCAATTAATAAACGAACCTACCTTCAAAGATGAATGATTCCCTGAACTCTCCTTCGTTCTATCATTTTTTTCGTCACACCTGGTAAATTGGTTTATTAAACTCGTCAATCTCTGCACCAACCTTTTTTTGAGCCGGATCAAATAACTTGATATGTTTAAATTAAACTAATAAAATTGAAGAACAAAATTGACTAAACTTATGTTGGTTTGCTTTGATCTAGTTTAACACTAGTAAACTCACATTGGATCAAGTTAAATAGCAAAATCGAAAATGTCATAATTAGTTATTATAGTTATTACATTTTTATAAATTTATTTAGATGTTATTTTAAAACAAAGATTCATCTAATTTAAGTAACAATTAATTTTTAATATAAATTAATTTGAGTTTTTAAGACAAGTTAATTTTAAAATGTTTAAAATTAACATTTATAACTCTGATAGTACAAATAAGTTATGAAAATACATTTTACCAAAAAAAAAGTTATGAAAATACAACAATTAACAAACCATCTAAATAGTCTACAACTCACATAAAACCAAATTTAACTAGCAATTTATCATATACCAAAATATATTTCAATAGTTACCTATCAAACCACATTTAACTCAAGCTATAACGAGTTGACCGAAATGGACCTAGCTGGCTCAAATTGGCACGTAGGCACGAAATCTTTTTTCATAAAATGGGTATGTAAAATTACTTTGTGGGTCCAATATTCTTAATTTACATGGGTGCCATTGCCATCCACAAAGGCTCGTAATTGCGAGAAAATCTTTGACGCAATAGTTGTAGGTACATTCACGTTAAAAAAGAAAAAAAAATGGAACTTAAAAGGAATTATATAAAAAAGTATGGGTTAAAATGAATATTTTTTCCTTTTTAATAAAAGTGAATACCGAATTCGATATTCCTATAGTATTGAAAAAAATTTCTGTACTTGCATATGCCTATCTTTAATTTACACTCATAAATGTGATTTATTCACAAAGAGATATATATATATATATATATATGGAGAGAGATCATTTGACTCAAGAGTAAGACTTATAAGTCTTACTCTCCATCATAACCGTTGATTTCCGTCCATCCAACGGTTATAATTTAGAAAGTTATATTAATTAATTAATTATTAATTATACTATTAATGACAACCGTTGATTTTCGTCCATCAACGGCTGGGATTTGGAGTAAGACTTAAAAGTCTTACTCTGGAGTCAAAAGAACCCTCCCCTATATATATATATATATATATATATATATATATATATATATATATGTATTATGATTTATGAAGGTACTAGTTAGTCAGTTAAGTTAATAAAGTCATTTGTACGTAAATTCAATGACTTCAGGTGTAGTATGTATATACGGGTAATTACATGTTAGGGTGGGTTTACCTAAAAATAAAATTCACACTAATCAATTTTAGTTAGGTCAAAAATTAAAATTTGTCACAGTAAGAGATGGACTCAGTTCCTTGCACATCACCATCAGCATTAAACACTCGGATCAAAGATTTGCAAATCACGAAATTGCAGGTCAAAGATTGCAAATCACTAATCAACTGTGGAGCCTCAACAATTTGTATTACCATCAACATCAAAGTATTATACGCTCCAAGTTTGACACTCACCGATCACAATTTTGTCTTCATATTTGCCCATGCTCGTCTCGTTGGTCATCATTGTTCCCGTCTTGCTACTTGTTCTTTCTCGATGGTTCATCTTTCGCTCTTGTTGCTTGCTTTTGGTTGAAGTAAACTAGGTGTTCGGATCAATATTAATCTTTGACCGGTCAAGTGGTGATCTACAATAGGATTTTAATAAATTGTACTCTTAATCTTAATAATAGTTGTTCCTATATATTTATATCTAAATGCTAATTAATTGGATATATGATATATCGACCGGGATACTACGGCGAACCTCTTCGTATAATCAAAGTAAAACTATACATACATGTCCTTTACCTGACGCTGAATTCTAATCGCGTGCTTAGACAATTCATTTTCGTTTTATTTTATGGGCTGTTAGAATTTTCCAGTATTTCTTTATTAATTATTAACAAAGTCACATAATCATTTTTTATTTATTTAAAATATTCTAATCAATTTATTACTTCACAACTAGTCCGATTCGTGTTGAGTTCCGAAATTAATGATTTGAATCCCTCTCTAAAACCGTACTAGAAATGATATGCTCATCCTACATAATCCTCCAAGTTGCAGAATCCTACGCGTTACGTCATACACAAATTAAAAAATAAAAATAAAAATATGCATCGTGAACCATCAAAGCGTATATTAAAAACAAAAATCTAGCTCACGCTATAGACCTATGCTAATTGCTACGTTATGACAGCAATGACAGTAATTAATTAGTAGATACAGTATTATTATTTTGATCTATAAAGACCGAGACAATTGAATTAAGCACACGAAATACCGACAGTGGTGGGCGCCGTAAAACGCTCCGACGCTGACTTTCTGACCAAGGAACTGATCTCCGGCGAAAGACCACCGATCTCAAACTCTGGAACTTCCGGGATTGTGGAGAGAACAGCCTCGGACTTATCATAAACCACGTAGAAACGGTCTTTGGAATATTTCTCTGACACTTGGAAACTATTACCACGGCCGCTACAACTTCTAGAAATCCTAAATTTATTACTAGATTTGAAAATAAAACGAAGGAGTTTCTGGAAGGGGTGAGAGAACTTGAAAGACTTGTAATTGGAGGATGGTGGCTGAGGTTGAAGTGAAAGATGACTTTCAGGTAGATGAGGCATGGAAAGGGTTCTGGGCGAGTTAGCTATCGCTGAGTCTATTTGTCGTTTGAAGGAGTTGAGCTCGAACGAGTCATATAGTGTGCTGCCACAATCCCAAATATTGGTCGACGAAGAGGAACACTTTTTTGCCTTTGAAGATTGCTTCTGCTTTTCTTTACCGGATTTCTCCATTTTGTATATATAACTTGTATCTTATTTGATCAGCTGGGTAAGCTATTACTGCAATTAATATAGAGAACTTGTGAAAATATTGGTTTCTTTTTGTATGTATATGTACTATATATGTAAGAGAAGGTTTGAGAGAAGAGAGTTAGCAAGGGTGAGTTTTGATCGCTTTTGTAATGCTTGGTAAAGGATGAAACGCGTTAGTTATTTATGCCTAGTCACTTTCAAAGGCTATACTATGCTTATAATCGTTTCACGTCCCGCGGATATTGACCATTATCATTAAATCCGTGAGGAAACTTTTCATTTTTTTTTTCCCAATTGATATGTGTGTGTGCCAGCACTGTTGTGTTGTTGCTAGCTGCTAGGTCAATATTGGGCACATATATATATTACAGTCCAGATAAGCTTTAATTACAAAAACTTTAAAAAGCAATCTTCGATCACGTGTTTAATTAAGTGGAATGCGGATTCAAAACAATTATAAATATATAAATAATTGAGAAGAAGTGGGAAAAGGTGGGACACTTGGACGTGGAATAAAAGTGGCCCCTTGAATCAAGTGTGTTGTAAGTATCGTATGCATACATATATGTGGAGAGAGAGGGAGTTTTTTTTTTTTTTTTTTGGTAATCGAGAGAGGGAGTTTAATAATATACAATCGTGAATTAATGGTATGATTTTACTTAATTAATAATCCACCAGATTACTAAATTAAATTAAAAAACATGTCATGTGGTGGTGGCTTTGCTAATATATATATATATATATATATATATATATATATATATATATATATTATATAGGGTTCATTTAATCTTATGTTGAAGTAGAGATCTTCTCTCATGTTGTGACACATATGTGGTGGGACATGTCATTTAAAGAAAAAAAGAAAAATGAATGTCACGATTTTCGATGAGTGTGTAGGAGATAAATTTGCTCTCTTATGCAACATAAGAGTAGTTTTTCTCACACACACACACACACACACATATATATATAGAGGTAGGATCCTTTGACACCGGTGCCAAATTTGAAGTTTGATACCTCGTCTGATAGTCATTAGATAAAAAAAGATCAACGGTGTCACATGCTTACAAATCAGAGTCGTAGATCTTTTTTGATCTAACGACTCTCAGATGAGGTGTCAAATTTCAAATTTGACACTGGCGTCAAATGATCCTACCTCATATATATATATATATATATATATATATATATATATATATAAGGGATATTTTTACTACCAAAATTTTTCACTACCAACTTACTACCAATCTAATCATCATTGGATCAAGGAGAGAGAATGCTAAAAAGTTTATGAAGAGAGAGAAAATACTCATTCAACGGTGATTAGATAGGTAGTAAGTTGGTAGTGAAAATTTTTGGTAGTAAGAATATCTTCCTTCATATATATATATATATATACCTCAATAGATTTAAGTTTTTTTTTTTTTTAGTCAACAATAGATTTAAGTCTTTACATTTCCATTGTTGTGCAAGTTACTGAGTGCTTCTCCGTTAATGCAGTGGCGGGAGAACATCTTTCGTACGTCGGTCTTAGGTACTACCACCACTCAAAATTAGACACCTACACTTAAACAATGTTTTTTTCTTTAAAATATTACTATGCGAGCTTACTTGTTTAATTTCTATTGGACGATTGTACAAAAAATTGAATACGGCGGTAGTATATTAGAAATTTCCCAGTGGCGGACTTGTTTGGAAGTCTATATCTCCACTTGCGGACATAAATTTCTGAATTTTTTTTTTTTAAGCATAATAGTAAAGCATGATATTGGTTAGGTTAGACTTTGTTTGAATATATAATGAAGGGTGAAATAGAAATAAATGGAATATACTGGGATGAAATGAGATATCATATATTTTATTGGATATTTTATGATGTCATACTACAAATCAGCTTGATTAAAAAAAAAAGGTGTTAGAGAATAATTTTTTATGTTAAGTTAAAGTTTTTTTTTTTCTTTTCTTATTTATATTTTTTGTTTTTTAATGTATTTAAATTTTTTTAAAAAAAATTTCGAAAGATATGCAGACATAAACAATTTTTTTCTGGGCCTACCCACTGCATCAAGGCAATTAGATATGAATGCTTAAACCATATTTATTTTCGCTTACTCCCTGCGTAATATATATGCTTATATAATTAAGAGTAAATACCCTTTTTCGTCCCTGGAAATATTTGCGAAGCACAATTTAGTCCCTCAGTTTAAAAAAGTCACATTTCAGTGTTTCATCTTTGAAAAAAAGGGCCACGTTCATCCTTCCGTTAGTTGGCATCTAACGGCTCAACTAACGGTGCACACGTGGACCGTTACTTTGCTGAGTCACCGTTAAGTATGCCAGCTTGGAAGTAAAACGACGCCGTTTTGAAGGTGCCTTATGTCTTGTTGGAGTTTTGAACAGCTGAAGGTCCTATTTGGTCCCTAACAAATTTATCGAGGCCCTATTTGGTCCTTAACACTAAAAAGTCACCATTGCAGCAAACCTTTCAAACCACCATTGCAGCAAACCAAGGCTTATGCTATTGGCAAGGCTTATGCTCTGATTCAATAAAAATGATGATGATAAAATGAAACTAAAGTCGAATAGAGTATTTGGTGAAGGAGAACTGCATTTCATCGCAGGAAAATCACATTGACTCAAATTATTGTACTTTTTCGTTAATGATTTGAACATCACAATCCACCACTAGCTGTTTGTGTCCAGAGAGGACGGGGAGCTCATCATATCGTGTACTCAACTTGCTCAAGTTTTGCATTGGCTGTGTAATAATGACAATAATATAAGAACCCACAATGAAACTTTTTTCCTCTTTGAAGCAATATATTGTTTCATGCATCAGGGTTTAATTACAAAGGTTTCACTCTTACGACCTTTTAGAGGTATCACTTCTAAAGGAGTTCCTTGCAATTGCAAACAATGCGTTAAATGAAAAAGGAAGAATGAGTTCTTTTTTCTTTTCTTTTCTTTTTTCATGTGTTCTCCTTTTTCATTAGACAACACTTTTATTGTTACTCAAGACAGTTGCCATGATTTTGGAAAGTGGTATTTTGTAAAAAAGAATGGTAAAAGTTAATTATTTATTATTTTTTTCATAGATCGTTGCATCTATTATCATCATTACAAAGCTTGAACATCCATGAAATTTGTGAGATTGTTTGCCTTGTGTTTTAGTTCTGTGCCAATATTATTGATGGTTGCTTGGATATATGAAGTATGAACTAGATATTAGATTGATACTTGAACAAGATTGTATATATTAAGGTACATAGACTGGACAGAGACTGCTCTGGCATTCTGGTGATGGGAAGGACACATACAAGTGCTGCAGTTTTGCATTCCATCTTCAGCGAGAAAACTTCCAGGGCGTCAGATGATGTGAGTGATAATTGTACTTTTTCATCAAATGCTTTATGCTGGCTGACCTGGATGATATAACCTCCAGAGCATTGGTCTATTATGGTCACAATCTCAAGTTGCTATATCTGTTTCATTTTTTTCTGACCTTGTTCCATTTGATCCTTAAATAGATTGACACAAAAAAGAGAATCCTACAAAAAAGGTACTGGGCACTGGTCATTGGATGTCCTAGACGTTCAAAGGGGTTGGTTACTGCTTCATTGGGTAAGGTTGTATCCATATTGGCACTTCATATGTACTGTAGAAAGCTCGTTATATATTGTAAAAGATTGTTGTAATCCTTTTTTTGGTTTCAGGTGGTTGTTGACAATGGGAAATCTGATCGAATAGCATAAGCCTTGGTTTGCTGCAATGGTGGTTTGAAAGGTTTACTGCAATGGTGATTTTTTAGTGTTAAGGACTAAATAGGGCCTCGATAAATTTGTCAAGGACTAAATAGGACCTTCAGCTATTCAAAACTCCAACAAGACATAAGGCACCTTCAAAACGGCGTCGTTTTACTTCCACGCTGGCATACTTAACAGTGACTCAGCAAAGTAACGGTCCACATGTGCACCGTTAGTTGGGCCGTTAGATGCCAACTAACGGAAGGACAAACGTGGCCCTTTTTTTCAAAAATGAAACACTGAAATGTGACTTTTTTAAACCGATAGACTAAATTGTGCTTCGCAAATATTTCCAGGGACGAAAAAGGGTATTTACTCTATAATTAATGCGGTTGCAGAGTTTCAACGATTCAATCATTTTCTCTCATTCTCCAGTTATTAAATGTAACGTCTGATAATGCATTATCGTGACAACTTGGTTCAAACTTTTTGCTGACATTTGTGGGAATTAGTTTGTTTAAGTGCACTAGGTTAATAAGATATTATTATTTTTTAGATTTTTCGGAGAATAATTTAGTTTTGATTAATTTAAAGAGTGCCTAATTAATATATAAACTAATTAATAACCGTTCTAATTTATAATTAAGATTACCGGTAGTTTTGTGGAGAAAGGAACAGTTAACGGCTTAAGAAGCTGGAATACGCAATAGCTTAATTAAGAACAGAGTGGAAATATTCAAATCGCAACCATCACTTTCCAGTTTCACACATTCAGACAGAGACAGTTCAAAGTGGTTGATCTACTCGTGATATCATGGAAAGTATGGATAATCTTAACAACTGTAAAATTGAAATTTGGAACTTTGAGTTGGATTCAAAGGTCTCTATAAATATGTTTGGATAGGAAGTGCTGTCAGTCAACTTTGAGTTAAAAATAAAATAGGTCATTTTCGTCCGGTATCTGTTGATCGATTATAACAAGACAAAACGAGCTCCACGATAAGAATAAAATAAATTATTGGATATTATTAGTATTATATATATTAAAAGAATGTTTGCGCGATTTAAATATACTTACTTATATCTTCGGTTTTTAATTATGTATAATAATTTCAAATGACTAATAAAAATACTCTTATACATAAAGCGGGTTTCATTTTTCTTAAAAGTTTAACTAGAATTCTTTTTTAGGATTAAACGTTTTATAATGTTACCAAACGGTAGTAGCTTAGTTGGTAATAAGAGATGAGTAATAGAAAGAAAAGGGTTTCGGTTCGATTCTCACATATCATATTTGAGAGGGGTTTAAATATCTTCATTCTGACTGGCATGCCATGACCAGCTTAAGTAACTTGCGATTATCATCCCAATTAAAAACATTTTAATATTCATTCAAAACAAAACCCCTAAAATTAAAACGAAGATTCAAGCAAAAAAGAGAGGAAAATATTGATAAAGGCTATTCAAACCAACAGTTGTTGAACAGTGGTTTCAAGTGGAAAAATGCTCTCCTAGGAAAATTCTTAGTTGGGCACTATAGCATACAATAGGCATTCAAATTATTATTTAACATGTGCAACGTTATAGGATAATATGAACTCCAGTATAAATGCACATATCGTTAAAAGTACTTTCACATTCATGTTAAAATTTTACTTAAGTAGATAAGAAATAACGTAGTAGCACGTGCCTACCTACGAATTTCTTACCCAATTTAGATACAACTCAATAGATTTTTCATAATAAGATATGGAAAAGTCCTACGAATTTTCATTTTACTTTAATAAAATTTAGAGATTTAAATATATTCAGCATTTCAATTTTTAAATTTGTTTTGAAGTGTTATTAAGTTCTTAATTACAAAAGTATACTTCTTAAATTTAGAGGAAGAGTTAGAAATCCGGGTAACTTTAAATGAATTTGAAGTTAAAACTCTATTTTTGTTGTTAACCTTTGACCAAAATTTTAATTTAGTTTTAAATTAGACGTGGAATCCACACTTGATTATAGTTCACTGCATAGGCTCCATATGAAAAGGTAATATTTAAGATGTGAACATAATAAAAAAAATTAAAACCAAATTGAAACTTTAGTAAAATGTCGGAGATCAAAAAAAGTTTTTACTTCAGAATTTTATTACAGTGAATTTTTTCTTTTTGTCATCCCAGGTTCAATTACTTTACACTTATTTTGTAGAGATTGTTTTGCACTTCTAATTGTGATTATGAAGTCAACGCAAATATATAGAAAATAGGAGTAACGCAACCCAAACTTAAACATATTAGAGATGAGATTGTTCGAAACTGTCGTCTGGACTTAATTTAAAGCCCTTTAACATTATACAAATAATCATTCTTCTTCTTCTTTTCCTTTTTATGTTAGAAATTTTATTTATATGTGGACAATATTAATTAATTAGTTTTGTATTTTAATATTAATCGGGTTAATAAATATTCCAATATTATTATTGTAACTAGCCCATTGTGATCACATTGAATAGAGCTTCTAGCATCTGTTGTTATTGGGCCTAGTTGGGCAGCAATGTAGGCTTTAGTGTGACCCTAGTTTTTCATGATGGGTGAATCCAGTGGACACAGACTCTTTTTTGGGTTATTGGCTAGGTTCCCTCTCTAACCTATTTATATTGGAGTTAAACTCCATAAGCTATCATGCTTCCATCGCTGAGGCTGCCTTTATCGTAATATGTGATAGAGAGGAAGACTCTAGCATTCTGTTCCCTTATTTTCAACTGTTCTTCTCCGACTTTGTGATGGCTCATGGAGTTTAACTACAATATAAATAGGTTAGAGAGGGGACCTAGCCAATAATCCAGAAAAAAGTCTGTGTCCACTGGGTCCACCCATCATGAAAAACCAGAGTCACATTAAAGCCTACACTGCTGCCCAACTAGGCCCAATAACAATAGATGTTAGAAGCCCATTCAATGTGATCACAATGAGTTAGTTTCAATAATAATATTGGAATATCTATTAACCCGATTAATTTTAAAATACAAAACTAATTAATTAATATTGTCCATAAAATAAAATTTCTAACATTCTCCCACTTGGGCTATATTAATTAATTTAATATTATTTTGAAAATCATTTTATTTTGAAAAATAATATTCCAATTCCAGCATCTCAACACAATTCAATCCAACATAACCTCATCATAGGAATATGGCGATCAATATACCGAAAATATCATGGCATACCTTCCCTACTCACATACAATGAGTATTACATCTTCATGAATCAAGGCCTAGCAGTGTAGTAAGAATTAGTGTCAAAATGTGATCAATAATATAACACACTAATTCTTATCGGTCCTCAATGTAATTTCTCAACAACATAAAATTACATTACTGCAATTTCCAAGCAACATGAAATTGAATTAACACAATTTCCAAACGACATGAAATTGATGAGGTTGGATAAATCAATATGTCACAATACAACATGAGGTCTCAAAATTTGTGACATCCAACCACATTTAAGCTATTATTCCATACATATATTTCTCAGTCGACAGGAGAAATAATAATGATGATGATCATCAATTACGAAAATTCAAACAAATATCACAAAATAATTATCAGTTTGCATAGAAAAATGATCAAAAAACAAACAAACTGAATATGACTCCTACTAACCAAAGGAATCTAAAATATTCAAAAGCAAGCTTGAGTATTACTCCCACTAATTAATAAAATCAAAAGAATTTAAACTCATGTTCTATACAAGAAGGAGGCTACTCTAAGGTCTTTCTTATCAAAGCTTTTAGATAAAAGACTCTTGTTTTATTCAATAAATCAACATCTTACTAGCAAATAAATCAACATTATTATTGTTGGCAAGTGGATGAATGTTAATTAGAATTTTTATTTATATGTGGACAATATTAATTAATTAGTTTTGTATTTTAATATTAATCGGGTTAATGGATATTTCAATATTATTATTGTAACTAGCCCATTGTGATCACATTGAATTGGGCTTCTGACATCTGTTGTTATTGGGCCTAGTTGGACAGCAGTGTAGGCTTTAGTGTGACCCTGGTTTTTCATGATGGGTGGATCCAGTGGATACAGACTCTTTTATGGGTTATTGGCTAGGTCCCCTCTCTAGCCTATTTATATTGGAGTTAAACTCCATAAGCTATCAAGCTCCTATTGCTAAGGCTGTCTTTATCAAAATAGGTAATAGAGAGGAAGACTCTAGCATTTTGTTCCCTTATTTTCAACAGTCCCTCCTTTCTTCCAGTTTTGTAAAGACCCAACAAGGTACGCACAATCCCAACTTTGATTTCATATTGTTTGGTATTTTATAATTATATACATGATTTGGGGTTAAAATAATTCTTACATTTTATATAAGAATGACCAGGATTGTTAAGATAAAATAATGAAATATAACCTTTAAATTTGAGTAATTTGTAAGCATTAAGGTATCGATGCTTACATAGTCCTCACTTAAGCTACATTTTTCTTTAATTTGATTTTATGTTTGGATGGTCTCAGCGTTACACCACATCTTAACCACAAATTTATTTTTGGATAAATCACAAGTATTCTCACGGGAGGCAATTCTATTTGAACAGGGAACATTCATATCATGTCATGATGAGGCTAGCTCTCCCAAAAGAGATTTTTTACATTCATAAGACTTGAACTCAAGACCTTACTTAAGCGGAATCAAGCATATATTATTTAAATCAACTCCCTTTGGTTCAACCCCTAATCTTAAGATCTTAAATTTGTGGATTGTTCCACTTATATAATCCTCACTTAACAATGTGAGACTTCTCACTTTTGGACTTTCATCGTGACAAACAGGACATCGTAGCCTCTTATACACAAAAACACATATTAGGAAAATTTTATTATCCTTCATTAAATAATTTTATTTATCTAAATAAAAATTATTAAATGTTTTAAAAAAAATTAAATGTTAAATATTTTTTTATTTAATGATTTTACTTTAATTCCTTAATCGGTACACAAAAGTGTATGTGGACAAAACTTAAAAAAAAAAAAAGACTGTTTGATTTATTTTCTGTTGTTTACTTTCATTTGATACTTTTATTTATAATTATAAGAATACCATATTACTTTTATTTTGTTTCATATTTTAAAATTTTTTGCTAAAGAATTCAAACCAAACATCCCTGCTTCGAGTTTCAAATTATGAAGCATATGCAAGAAGATTTAAGCTACCTTGAACTCGAGTTTCTACTTGCTATAATGCAATTGAACTTTAATAGATTACAAGCTCTCATGAGCTGAGCTTGGTGTTAGTACAACACCAGTGCTGGGGACGGTGCTTTTATCTTTCTGCTGTCTCCCGTTTTACAAAATTGAAATAACGTTTATGTGGTGTGCTATTCCATATCCCCATATACTTTACATGCTTGCAATCATGATTCATGCAGGCATTGGCTTAATCCACAACATTACTGCTAAATAGCTTAAATTGGTTGGCATCAAGAACCAATTTCCTTACGGAAGAGAATGCACCCATAATTCCTGCACCCGTGAAGACCACCATAATTGAGATGTTGATCAAATAAGTAAAGGATGATTTTGGAGGCTTGTATGTCATATTGTATAGAAGCATGGGCAGAACGAAATCCAGAGGGATGAAGCCAATAGCACCAACCACACCATTAATGTCTCCAAAAAATGGCAGCATGGCTGCCAAAACCCCACACAATATCATGTAAATTGTTCGAAGAATTAGGCGAGGAACTAGATTTCTTTTTGAAAACATCCCCTGCTTAACATCAGCTGATTTCTTCTCCATTATCTCATAAGCAACTTGAGAATAAACCTGTGATATGGTGGTAGAAACATTCAAAGAGAATTTCCACATTGACAAAACTTAACCCTGGTCAATGGCTCTTTCCATTAAGGGAGAACTTTGTGAGCTAACCTGGCCAATTGCTAAGAGCTGAAGAAGAACAAAGATGATGGCAAGTCCAAGGACCCAAGTTGGAGCCAAAGAAGGTCCATCATCTGGTAGCAGACTCTTTAAAATATTTGAGTTGGACTTGTTTCCAAATACCCAATATCCAGAAACTGCTGTTGAGTAGAAAGTCACAAATATAACAACATAACACATAGCAAGGCCTTTTGCCATCTTCCCAGTGGCAGGTGGTGCTAGTGTTGCCTGTATTCATAATGACATGGTCAATGTAAGGACAATAAGCATTTCATTTGTTAACTAACATTAAAATAGAATATTTCAACTTAGAAAGAGGAACAGTAGGTACTTGTATCTCAGGTAATATGCCATTTCCAAATATTGATGCAAGTATGGAGATGGAAGTGAAGGCACTGAATGCCCTTGTTGACTTCTTAGTTTCTAAGGAATAGTCCCTTGGAGGGGCATTTTTTGATGTTCCTGCATCATGAACCCTTAAGCTGGTGAGAAAATAAACTTTCTATTGTGAAGGAAGACAGTGTATTAGCATCCTGTTAAACCACATTGTCTAGTTAGTAGCAACTTCTAAATAGCCACGGAGGAAAAGTGTCCATGCGAATATATTAAATGATATTTAGTTAAAAAAAAACAAGAGGGAACCAAGTGAATTGAATGAGTAGTACTTAGTGGGAACCAAGTGAATTGAATGAGAGGAACTTAAAGGGAACCGAGTGAATTGAATGAGAAGTACTTAGTGCTGGCGTTATAGCAGATTTCAGGATAGTCCTTGTGACAGACTAATAATTATGTGATCCAATTGAAGAATTGAGATTTATGTTTGAAAGTGTATCCATAATAGCACAAAAAAGATTAAAGAATTCAAGGTTAACAGAATGATTATTGGTGTATAAATGTAAATAAGTGGCAATGAGTTAATAATATACCTGCATGAATACATGCACCAACCACCAGGATAGTGTAGCCCAGGCTGAGAAGCAGCGAGCACAAGTTGATGTATCGCAGGGAATGGAAAGTGGGAAGCTGAGATAAACCTATCATTACCACTGTCACCATTGCTATGAACTCGTACAATTTCAGGGAACCATGAGGTGAGATATTGGAGTACATGATCTTCCCCATCATAAAGGAAAAGCAAAAAAGCAAAAAGAAAAAAAAAAAAAGAATTAACCAAATTAAAGATTAAAAATTGAAATATTTGTAACCAAGGCCATTTACTTGACACAAATTGTTAATATTCTAAATCATTATATTGCTAAACACTTCTGCAGCAGAATATAAATGTTTGATATATGCACGGCACAAATGATCCAAAGGACTCCACAAGGTCATGGAAGAACCCATGTTCAAATCCCAATTCTCCATAATCCGAGCAACAAATTCTAGCATTGGCTATCTTCAAGCAAAAAAATAAAAATAAAATTGACAAATAATTTTCAACAAATATTTTGCAATAATCAATTGATTTAATAAATTTATTAGCTTAGAGTCGAATATATCCTTTCCTGAATATCTCATCCTGGATGGCTTGAAAACAGTGAGGTTAAATAAATCAGAAAGTTCATTCGTTAATCACTTGATTAAAGGGTAATCCAGTGCACGAGACTTTCAACGTTGTATGGTTTAGGAAGGGTAATATAGTCTGAAACATGAATGTCACGATTTTTAATTTTGGAATTTAACTTTGAAATTGAAAATTTTAATTTGAAATTATTTGTTGTTATTTAATGTTTAGATATTTTATCTTATTTTAGATTATCTTATCTCAATATAAAATAAAATTATTTTATACAAATATTTGATTATATTAGATTGGGTTCATTCTTTCTGCAGTTTATATAGATAAGTTATCTACATTGAGCCGCCTAAAATAATGTTGTTTTAGAACGAAAATTAAGGTATTTTTATAATTAGATTTATTTCAGAGTTATAATAGTCTTTTTCATTATAATTTTTTAATCTTTCAATCCAAAATGATATCGTTTTGATAGCGAATGTAGGTAACTTATCTACATTTATTATAGAAACATTAAATCTATTAGATTTTATACAAATATTTATACACATACTGAGTGAGTGGGGAGAGAATCTTAGTTTGATTCTCATCAAATACATATTTGGGGAGGTGTGAAGAGTTTTAATTGTGATTAAGTCTTGACTCAAGATTAGTATCATACCCAGTTCAAATAGTTAAAGATTATTGGGATACTCGGGGGACAACTCGCTTCAAAGAAATAATTAGGATTGGTATCGAAAAAAATTAATTGTATTAGATTTGTAAATAAATAGTTAATATAAACATTTGACAACCTTAGTTAATGTTTCTACAGAGAATGTTGATAAATTATTTACATTCGCTCACAAAATGATATCGTTTTGAGTTGAAAAATTAAAAATTATAGTGAAAAAGACTATTATAATCCTAAAATAAATTATAATTATAAAAATATCTTGATTTTCGTCTCAAAATAATATTGTTTTGGACAACTTAAATAAATTATCTATACTAACGATAGAAAAAGTGAATTTTTTTAATAATAATAAAGATTTTCCTTAAAATAAAATCTGAAACCTATTAAATACCCAACAATGGTAATAAATTCTGTCTGGGAACTTCCACAGCTCAATCTCTGTAACGATTTTACTTTATAAGGTGAAGATACTCATAAAGTAAGAGACCAATCCTATTGATGGAAAGTAAACGAAATTCAGAATTTCAATAAAATAATAAAGCATAACGGATTGTGAGAATGAGTATGAGTATATATTACTATTACGGAGAAATTGTGTATTATTTTAAAGGATATAAAATTGTGTCGTTTTAAATGAAAGAAATAAATAAATAAAAAGAAAAAAAGTGAAAAAAATAAAAGTGTGAGTCTTATTTTTTATAAAAATAAAATAATATAAATTATGTAATTTAAAAAGACAAATAATTTTCCCGATGACATGCGAAATCGCTATATTTTCTCTTATGTATTGGGGAATGACCGAAACTTGATCTCACGTGAAAAAAGACAGAGGAATTGATAAATAATGCATAATAAGTAATAAATCAATTGATAAGAATAATAAATGAATAAATGCAAAGCAAACCTCAAGGCAATCGGCCGCAAGTAAGATAGCCCCTACGCCAACTCCGGTGTTGATTGCAGTTTGGATAAATATTACAAAATAGAACATCCATCCTGACCCTGTCATTAACAAAAGCGACAAAATCAAAGTCACAACTTACAATTTTAAAAGAGTGGTGCTAATTCTCAAACAAAACAAAAAACAAAAAACAAAAAAAGAGTGGTGCTAAACGCCTAAACCATGCCTGATCTATTTTTTTATCTTGGGATAAAAAAAAAATGAGCTCAAAGTTGCTTATGATACTGTTTTCTATTAAAAAATATGAGTTGTTTCTGTATCTTATTATTATTTTTACTTGATTTTACTTTTTGAAGTTTTTATAATTGAAGTATAAAAATAAGTTCATCAATATATATATATATATATATATATATATATATATATATATATATATATCATTGCTTCTTAAGTTCACACTATTTAGTAATTGGATTAATTTATTTTGTATTTGAAAAAAAATTATTAACTCAATCTTATCATATTAGGGGGATTTTTTACGTCAGAGTAAAATTAACAAATCTTACTTCTCATTTTAATTATTGATTTTTGTCCATATGATATTTATAATTTATTAAAAATTAATTAATAAATATAACTAAATAAATTATAATTGTCATATAGATGAAAATTAACTGTTGAGATGTGGAGTAAGACTTGTTAAACTTACATCGAAGTCAAGAGATCATTACTCCTATATACATATAGGATAGGATATTCTTACATTGATGTAAAAATAATATATCTTGTACCGAATTTTAACTGTTGATTATCATATATCTTGACAATGATAATTTATTATAAATCAATAATTCATTAATGAATGTAACCAAACAAGTTACAATTGTCTGAAACATGAAAATCAACGGCTAATATAAAAAATTTCTTACACCGATATAAGTTGATTTTATCTTTTATATAAATATATATATATATATATATATATATATATATATATATTATACTTAAAATGATATAAAATTATATCATTCAAAATGACAATTTTTTTTACCCATATTAAAAATAATCAAAACCAAACATTCACTGAATATGATTTTCTTTTAAGAAATATAGTAAAAATCTTAAGGCGAACTTTCCAATTTTTATCTAAAATTGGGAATGATTATATTATCTACCTACTTAATTTTTTTTACCGTTACTTCCTTTTATCGTCATTAGATTGGATTTAAGTCAACGGTGAGAAACCGCAGGTATAACTTGTTGAGAAAAATAAATGAGAGAGAAGCAAAATTTAAAGGTGTGTAACTAATTATTTTTTTTAAAAAAAATATTGTATTTGAAATCGTTGATTTAATTTAATTTAATATTAATAAAAAGATAATAATGATAAATAAATAAAAAAACTAAATAGGTATGGAATATAACCACCCTAAAAATAATATCTTAAATTTTCTACTTTAATTTTATAAGGATAAAATCAATTAATCTGACTCTAAAGATGAATATCTTACCAAACCGATTCTAAGGATTAGTACACAAAAATAAAAACGGTGACAGAAAATTATACGGTGACATTAAGTATGGTAGCATTTAATCACCTAAGACGTCGGCGGCAAGTTCCCGGAAACGGATGTGGCGGCGACCGGATTTCTCGCAATGATCAAGAACTTTGGACATAAGGTAATAAGAGTAGAAGGTGACGACACCCATCACCGTAAGGCAAAAGAACCCAAGCCCCCAACCCAATCCTCTGAACACGTACGGCAGCGACAATATGGTTGGCCCAACGATCGCCGTCGTTAAGTGAAAACCGGCGTGCCACCATTGACCTGTATCATACATAGTACATGTGTTAGAAAATAAGGCACGTGGCCATTTGATTGAAGAAACGGAAAATTGTTCGTACTATGATGAGTTGGAATATTTACCTTTGGACTCGAGGACGAAAGCAGCTCCGGCGTCCTCCTCATCATCACGGCGGTTCTCCTTAGGTGGGTCTGCCATGGTTGACGTGGTTGTGAGTTGAATAAGGAAGAAGAAGGAGGAAGAGAAACCGAAGCATGCGGGTGGTGGAATCTAAATAATCTATGATTTATTGAGCCGTATAAAACTAGGTAGCAGGGCTTGTTTTATATTAGGATTTGGTTTGGACACTTTTTTTTATTACATCTTCGTGTTCACACGTTCACTTCCAACTTACATCTAGTGCTATTTTTCGAAATAAATATACACGCGACACGAATTATGTATCAATCATGATCTGTGTCCAATTGGGAAGACTTTTTACTTTGGAGGAAGGGGATGTGCTTCATTTTCTTATTCCACATTCCCCCTACATCTAGGGTAACCCACATGGACCCTCACACTTTCTTGCATGCTGCGCAATACTACCTGTGGTGAAACGCCAAATTGTGAGAACAAAAAGTCGATGCTTTTTGGGACCACATATTTGTGGTAACTTATTATAATTTTTTTTTTTTTTTAATAACCTCCTATCGAATCAAAATTAAAACTGAAGTTTTAGATTGATATTATTTTATTATTTTTAAATTAATTTTAATATATAATAATATAAAAAGTCAACGCAACATGTAATGTTACGCTTGTTACAGCACTAATTCCTATATTGTTGCTTAAGATAATTTGTTATATAAAAAGTCAAATATAATATTATGCTTGTTTGCAATCCCCACCACAACCTTTATTTTATGGGTAATATTACTCTCATGTAACATGAGAGTAGTTCTCTCATGTTACAGAGAGAATTCAAGTAGGGCCCGCTATTTAAAAGCAAAAAAGAAAAAGAAAAAAGAAGGCACGATTTTCGAAGTGAGAGAAAAGAAGATAACAACCTCATGTAAAATGAGAGTAGTATTTCCCTTATTTTATATATAATAAGTTTGGCTAGTAGGTGAATGACTCGAGAATTTCTTCAGCGATATTAATGCATTGAGTTTTCAGTGTATTTTTTATTTATAATATGACATGTATCTTATTTTTGACAAATACATATCATATTATGAGTGAAAGATGTACTGAAAACTCAGTGCATCACTAGCGCTAAAGAAATTTCCAAATGATTGAGAGAGAATCATGCAAATGATATGAAAATATAAAAAGAAAAATATAATAAATAAAAATAGCTATTGATATAAACGTGACATAGCTATAGACATAGCATTGGCAAAATATCCGTACTAATGTTATTTTTCGAATGTATCTCCATGCTGAAACACATTTGGAAAGAATGTCCAGAGTAGAGCAGGCAAACACGTAGGTTTGACTGACGAGATAAGTCCCACCAGTGAGAAAGACAAGATCAAAAGCCACGTAGGAATCAGCACCAATCGCGCCAGTCCATGTCACGTGTTTGCCACGTTTCCCGTCACCTGCTGTGACATGTTGCAGTCCTGCCATGTCTGTTGGCGAGACTAAGCCACGTGTGTGACACATCCGCTAGCTATTGTGACGCGTTCCAGCCACGTGTAACTACACCCGCCACATTGGATGCCGGTTTACGTTGTCCTTCTACTACCCCACGCCATACTCGTGGGGTAACGTCCCGTACTCAACAAAATTAATCGTGGGGGTAGCGTCCCGTACTCAACAAAATTAATCTCGCCACTGACACTTACGGTGATACCTGCCTGGTTATATATAGGGTCTTCCGGTGTTGCTCAATATGGGAAATTTTGAATTTGGGTTATGTTTGCTATTTTTGTATATGATTTTGACTGACAGTTTCTTTACTTGTCGTAATTTGTTTGTATCACTTGTTGTGTAATGTCGAAATATTTTTTGTGTCACTTGCTGTAATGTAATGCTGATTTAATGTTGTTTATTTACTTTTTTTAATCTCCACTTTCATCTGATCTTTTTGTGTTATTTGCAAATACACAGTATTACAATGGAACAATATCGGTCTTTTGTATATTATAATGGTTCTAAAATTAACGGTGTAGGCGGGTTGAGATTCGAAGGGGAAAAAAGAGCAATGTATATTGTCCGAGGCTTGTCCATTGAAGATCTACTTCAGAAGATTCGTCAAAAGTTGAAGGTGCAACAAAATCAGGTAATTTCTTCAATAACGGGTCGAGTCTCATGTGGAAATCGCAAATATGCAGGTTTTGAAATAACTGATGATGAGGACATTGACATTTTTCTTGGAACATTTGTCCAAAACTCTACTACGTCTCAATTTGTTGAGTTATACGTGGATATTGAGACATCACACGAAATGTCAACACCGACACGTGGGTTGGACCTTAACAGTCAGACACAAATGTCGTCATCGTCGGAACCCCAGCCCACACAATCAACTATTGCGCATGGAGATGAAAGCGACTATATGGTAGATGTTGAACCTGACAATGAAGAGGAGAAGGAAGATGAAGACACTCTATTGGCAAATGACCATTATCAGAATGATAGTGATGGAGGTGATGATGAACATTATGATAATCCCATAACACAAGAGACAGTTATCTCTGCGTCCAATAATGCGGTTATTCCACCATCATCAGGTTAGCCATTGAACGTGTTGTATGATTAAATTTTTTTTAACCGCTTTAATATTTGCCAAATCTTTTTTTTTATTTTTTTGTAGATGTGACACCATTTTGGGATGAGATCCCACACTATGAGGCTGTTAATTTTGATTATCGGAACGAAGACATACTGGATGTTGAAGGCTTAGGTCGTGGTCCGTGGACAAGAGGAGACAAAATGTATGTGAAACAAGAGTTCCGGTTGAAGAGCGATGTGCAAGCCGCTATAAAACATTATTGTATGAATGAGCATCAAGAAGCTGTAGTGGTTGAGAGTACTACCACGAAGTTGTCTATGAAATGTCGTAAGCATGAAGAAGGCTGCAATTGGCAAGTAAGGGCAATTAAACCGAAGAATAGCAACAGCTGGGTAGTCAGTAAATGGGGTGGAAACATTCTTGTGTCAGCACAACCCTTTCGCAAGATCACAAACAACTCGATTCACAATTTATATCTGAGGCCATTCTAGGTACTATACATTGTTGAAGTTTTCGTACTGCGACAATTTATGTGTTAATCATGCGAAGGTGGATATTATTACTAATTACAAATATGCTCTATATCTGTATGCAGACATGGTGAAGGCTTCGCCGTCGGTGGCCGTTATCTTGATACAAGAATGAGTTACTGCCCTTTTTGGATATAATGTTTCTTATAGGAAGGCGTGGAAGGGAAAGCAGAAAGCAATTGCTAAGATTTCCGGTGATTGGGACGAGTCATACGCGTTCTTGCCAAGATGGTTCGCGCACATGTTGAATTTTTCTCCGGGGTCTGTTTACCATATTCAACATAGACTGTGTGTCATGAATGGACAAGTTATTACTGGGTCTAGGGTTTTTCAACGTGTTTTCTGGACTTACGGTCAATGTCGGGAGGCGTTTAAATGGTGTAAACCAGTCATATAGGCCTCCACCTCTCCACCAGTGTAGTAATCAGCCTATGGTCAATTTGCATGTGAGGAGCGTATAAGTAAAAATATGCATAAAGGTCGTTATTATTGGTAACTTGTAATAAATAAAATAAAATTCATAAATGAAACATACCGGTAATCTTCTCATGCGAGTCGCATGCCAAAAACCTGCACGCAACAAATGCTGTTGCAGGTCCTGGGGGATGTCATCTGGGTCATGTACATCTCTGATTCCCCTACCCTTTGAAGCTCATCTCACTCTCAGAGACTTTAAATGTCCTTCGTTCCACACCACCTGAGATCTGTGACATTGCTGCACATCTTCATCTAGTACACCCCACTCTTTCGGACCGGGGTCAATGCGAGGTCCATGACTCCATTTAACTAACAACAATTTGTAAAATTTATCAATTATTATAGGGACTACATAATTAAGGTACTATTGCAATTACTATTTAATAAAATATGACTGCAATTGTAATAACAACAGCATATACTAAATAATTTCAAGAGTATTTATTACTTTACTCTAAAGTTTCATGTCGATTTAATTAATCTTGGCAAATATACAGTAATTAAATTTACGTTTTACAAATTTTCATTGATACTATCTTATTTTTACACACAGGTCACTATGCCATTGCTAAGACAAATTTATTAATACTAATACAAACAGTAATTACTATTAAATCATGCCAATTACAATAATTATATTGTCCTAAAGCATTTTTTGCAACATTGCAATGTTAATTTGTATATTTTTTATAAAGGATTTAATAGCATGAATAATATTTAACTAATTCAATAAATTGTAATGGCTATTTAATTACTTTTTTAATAGTTATTAAATCAACTTAATATGTTTTTTCTTAGGTTTTATTCATTAACATGAAATCTGCAATTATATAATTATTAAAACAATTACTACTATTTCAATAATTAATAATTGTAATTATTATAAATATATTAAATCTAAATTACTATTTCAGATTAATGTTTATAATTTCAATATGATTACTATTAATCAGGTCACTAATTAAAATTATAACATAATTATTACATTAATTACTGTTTACCAAAAGCCAAATTACATTGATTATTAATTATCTTAGGAATAATTTTTTGATGCCTACTAAGGATTCCAAAATTATTTTTCTTAATTAATGCAGAATATTTGAAAAGGGCTTTAATGACATGATTATTATTTAATTATTAAACTTGTAACAGCCTCAAACCCTGTAGCATGATATTGTCCGCTTTGTCCTCGGGCTCACGATTTTGTTTCTTGGGACACCCCATAAAAGGCCTCACTCTAGAAGAGGTATTCACACCCTTATAAGGCATGCTTCGTTCCCCTCTCCAACCGATGTGGGACATTACATCATCCCCCACTGGGAATACAGCGTCCCCGCTGTACACACCGGTCCAAGGCCAGACTCTGATACCATAAAATGTAACAGCCCCAAACCATGTAGCATGAAATTGTCCGCTTTGCCCTCGGGCTCACGGTTTTGTTTCTTGGGACACCCCACAAAAGGCCTTACACTAGAAGAGGTATCAACACCCTTATAAGGCATGCTTCGTTCCCCTCTC